AAATTATAGACCAATTTCAATAATAAGTTTATATGAACGCTTAGTTTAGGTTAGTTTAACAAATCATCTAAAAAATATTATCGTAGAAGCACAACACGGGTTTTCCCAAGATAAATCTACTTTCAGCAATTTAATGGATTACGTCATGAAAGTTGCACGTGCAATGGATGGTCAAATGCAGGTGGATTCCATATACACAGATTTTTCTAGTGCATTTGATGTCGTGGACCATCAATTACTTATATCTAAATTAAATTCATACGGCGTGCATGGGAATTTACTTCTTTGGCTAAGTTCTTATCTCAAAAATAGATTACAAAGTGTACATGGATATAAGTCTAATGATTATGTGGCTCTATCAGGCGTAATACAAGGTTCACGTATTGGTCCTATTCTTTTTTTGGCGTTTATTAATGATATAACACATAACATTAAGTACAGCCATTGTTCCATTTTCGCCGACGATTAAAATTGTTCAAGGCTATTAAAAACCAGGATGATGTTCTATCCTTACAAAATGACCTTGATGCTATCCATGGTGCAAAAGTAATAAAATGAAACTTAATCCTCGTAAGTGTACCTACGTTAAATTCACAAAGTATAAACCTACTGTTACATCTTGTTACTTCATTAATAAAGAGGTACTGAGTGAATCTTCATCCACCCGTGATCTTGGGGTCATTCTTGATAACAAACTTAGCTTTATAGAACATATAGATAATGTGGTAACGCGTTCATGGAAAATGTTAGGTTTTGTCAAACGTACATGTAAGGATTTCAAAAATGCTCAGACTCTGATAACTATCTATAATGCATTGATTCGTAGCAGTTTAGAATATGCCTCGGTGATATGGAATCCTTCTTATAAAATTCACATTCACAGAATCGAGCGTATTCAACAAAACTTCACTCGATTCATTGCATATAAAGTTCAAAACTGTCCGTACTATAAAGATTTTAACTCTAGGCTTTCTCATCTTGGAATGAGTTCACTGGCTGACCGACGAAAACTTTTAGACTTAGTGACGCTACATAAACTTCTACACGGTAAGTTAATTTCGCCAAGTTTACTGCAGCAAGTCTGCTTTAAAATCCCCTATCATATTCCTAGACACCCAGTTACTAATTATTTCAATATTCCCATCTGTAGAACCAATTTAGGCAAGTTTTCTCCGTTAAGCAGATGTATGCGAACTTACAAGAGCTTAAACAATCATGATATCGACATCTTTAGCGACCCCGAAATGTAAAGACGTACTGTTACCTGCCTTGCCAGATTAATGATTCAAAATTATTATTTATTGTAATTATTTGTGAATAAAAGCAGCAGCTTTTACTTTGATTGTTTAGTTTAATTTCTTTTTGTTTTATAGTTTATATGTTGTTCAGTTTTTTTTTCTATTATATTGATGTATACGCCTGTAAAGACATTTATCTAAAAAATTTGTATTTTGATTGTAACAATGTTTACTGATATTGTCGATGGTGTATCTATTTAAATAAATAAAAGCACATAACGAGTGGCTTTTGCTTGGAAAAGATACTGGTACCTTAAAGAGATATTATTCAAAAGTGAACATTTTCCTATTAAAGAAAAAATTGTTTAACTCGTGTACGTTGCCATGTCTAATGTATAGATGCTAAACTTGGGCGTTGACTCAGAAACATCTTTTAAAATTGAGAACATGTCAAAGAGGAATTAAAAGAAGTATTTTTTGCAAGACGCTCAAAGACCGTAAAAGAGAGAAAGATATTAGATCTACAACAAAGATGGAAAACATACTAAAGAAAATAAGACAGTTGAAATGGTGACGGATAGGACACGTGACAAATGACAGCAGCATAAATTGGACGAAAATCATACAGAAATGGCAAACACGTAATAGGAAAAGAAAAAAAGAGACAAACTCATAGATGGGCAGATGATATTAAGATTATATGAGATTTATGTGACACAGGATACGCTAACCACTAAACAGGTAAATCTGATGTGCTGCATTATATATTACAGTTTGCTACTATGTATAAAATTTTTAATGTTTTTTATTAGCAATTAAGGCTAAATAATAATATTATATTATCAACCACCACGTGGCAGCTTTTGCTGTCGCACGGATGGGCCGGCTCGAACTGGTGTGGTACCACAACCTCACAGAATACCAACGTGAAGTAGAGATTTACCTCTGTGTTTCGCTTGGTGAGCGCATGTAGCCGGAGGACCAATTCCCCACTCCCCTTAACATGGTACCTGAATTAATTAAAAAACTACCCCAGGAAGGTACCAGCACCCCTGGTGACGAAGAATACCTCGCTGAGCATCCACGATCAAGTTATCCTACTCATCCTGATCGTGGTTGCTCGGGCTACCCATATATTCTAGGGGGGGGGGGGGGGGTGCAATTCCGATCGTGACTAAAACTCCTCGGGGCAAGCTGAGCAACGTGGTAGGGGTCGCATTGGTGTTCAAGGTGACCCCTACCACGCTATCCGTGAATTTTTGCAACATCAGGGGTGAATTTGTAACCAAACGAACTTCTTTTATAATGAGGTTCTCTTTTATTTTCGGTTGCAAATGTGGAATATTGCGTAACTCAATGCTCGAAGATCGAGATTACGTTCTGTCTCTATCTCTTCAAATCTTACTTTTATTTCCTCATATTTAGTTGACAAAAGTCAAACAAACTCCGAATATCTTTATTCTGTTCTTTAATTTGAGTAATCGTAGACACAAATTAACTGGGTTTAGGATCCTGTGTTGTCTAATTTGTTTCAACGATTCCTCCATCTCTTCCGTAAAGTCATTCAGGTCATTATCTTGACGTCACCGTTTTTAATAGTTTGTAATGTTTGACGCCGGTTCCTCGTCAGTCTCGCGCCGCTTATGACGCAGCGCCAGATATAATGGCTGTACATCATGTCTGGCGCTAAGTCATAAGCGGAGTACTCACCGGTGAGGCCCTGATGTGATGCGCGGTGACGGTGCAGTAGCATATCTCAATGCTTCGAGTACCAGGCGCTCACGGGTGGTTTAAGCTCTTTACAGTTAATGCACTCCAAATTTTTTTTAATAAATTTCGCCTAAATTCAGTTCAGATAAACTAAATGAACACTATGAGAGATTCGGTTTAAGACACATCTTTAATCTTCAGATGTCCGGAGGGAGGGGGAACGTAGTTTGAATATTTTAGAAAATGAATTATCTTATTATTATAAAGGTATAGGTTATCCAGTGAAACTTAGACCGTACGTAGCTTACAGCTTAATAAAGATGTAAAGAACATGAGAACGGAGACGGGTTACGTTCCGCTGTCCCAAGAGCATATAGTAAGCAAAGGTTTGTTTTACGTTGTTCGCTATCAACGAGACACATAGCTAATTGGCTTCATTTTACTGAAGAAAAATGTGCTATTAAGGAATTTTTATGCGGCAAAGTTACGTATATTACATATTTATGCGGAGATCAAAATACTAGTATATAAAGAATTAAGTAAATAAATAAAGAATAATTACTTCTTGAGTTTTCGTTTTGGCCTTTTGTCATCATTATCATCAATATCATTACAGCCTCTATGAAAGTCCACTGCTGAACATAGACTTCCATCAAGTATTGCCACAAAACACGACCCTGAGCCAACTGTAACCATCGACACTCCCAATGTTGTTACACATGTTTATTTTCTTAGTTAATATCAATAGCTTTATAGGTAATAGTAAAATTGCATTGTTTATATGGAAATTGCTCTAAATAATTTATATGGCCTCAAATATAATGAATACCGATAACATTAACACATATACACATTTAAAAAATGTCCCACTGGTTTTCTTGTGGTTCTTTCCAGAACAGAGGTTTCCGAACCAGTGGTAAGTTAAACAAAATAGTGACCATCAATAAGTTTTATTTATAATCTTTATTGTATAAAAAAGTTTCTGTATCTATTTCAATAAAAGACGATTTACTTTATAAAATTAAAAAGACAACCGAACCTACAGTCCACCTGATTATTAATGTCTCCCAACTTACAATAAAGAAGGTTGAAGATAGGCTGTGACCACTGAGGACTAAAATGGAATACCTTATACCCTGTAATAATACTGGCTTCGTATACCAATATATTTATGAAGACATTAGCCACAGTACTAAATGAAAATAAAGAATTCCTTTATTTTTATCGGATGCTTTGGGGGTGGATCATTGTTTAGAAATGTTAATAAAAGTGTGCCTACTTAATGTGAAACAATGCATATTATACAACACTTATTGAATAAAATGCATGAAATGTGAAGGGTGTTTTGTATACTCTGGTTTGTCTAAAGTGTTTGTGGCTTGTGTGTGGGTGTGGTTTTTAATTAATTAACTTATTTAATGCAAAATTTTTGCTTTTATTTTTTGTAAAATATCAGTGCCATAAGCTTCTACTCCGTTTACATGTTACACCCTATTTTTCCAGACAGTAAAAAGGGTCATCCAGTATATTGTGATGATATAAGTTTCATTAATTATTGTTTTGTTCTTTTACTTAGTCATATTTGGTGTCACCGGTGACCCCATGTAACTAAAAGTGTTATTGCTTTAATATACCTAATAAAGGGTTAAGACAGAGCATTCTCGTTTGAAATCATGCTCACGAGCCTAAAATATTGTAAATAATTATGTAACATAATTGGTTGAGTTATTTTCACTACTTCGTTTGGCGGTTTATTTGACATCGCAGTTTCTTATTTGATGTTTCAGGTTTACACTACTGTCCATCTTCCGATTAATTCAGTTGATTTCGTGGGGTAAAATTGGGGTGATGATTTATATAAAACATATAATAATACAGAAATGAATCTATAATCATGGATTTCATTCCGAAATTTGTATACATATATGTGAAAGCAAAAAACATTAGAGTTTACAGTCATGTTGATAATACAGTTGGTAAATCCGTCTTAAATATCAGATAGTCTTACTTATAAACGTTCTATGGGTATTGAGATATTTGACCAGTTAGTAATTAGTATCCAATAGCTTCAATGGTGGGAGGGAGTTTACTCCCGCCTGCAATGGATTTGTTCGGGCGATTGATTTTGATTGGAACTCGGACGCAAACGACAGGGTTTTTGTTTTCGTCCACGATTCTGAACTCAATCGTTGCTGAGATACCCTGAAATGAAAAAATGGGAAAAATATCTGAAGTTGATTCTGTGTACATTATTCTTAGTTAGGGAGCTTCTAACTTACATCATTCAACAATACCTCGCTCCTGCACCGATAGTGGCGGTATCGGAATATCCACTACCGCATATCGTCCTGTGACTGTCGTAAAAAGCAACAGAGGGAAGTGAAACGAAGATAGGAAGCAGCAGCTTAATCATAATAACACAAAACAATAAAAAAATTTGAATAGCGGTTGACCCGTAGATAATCCAAAATTTATATAAAAATTACGATTATTTGGAAAATTTTAAATAGCTATAACTTTCAACGCCTAGTACGATTTCGAATTGAGTTATTTAGTTATTCGATGTAGTTGCAAAAAACTGTTTGTCAGGCCTGAGACGACAGATCGAAGAATTTAAAAGTTATTTAAAAAAAAACATTATTTACAAATTTTTAAATTGCTGTAATTTTGAGTGTGTCGTTCGATTTTCACTTACTTGGCGGCATTCGACACAGTTTTTCAAATACAAAAAAGTGTCTTTAATGGATGGAGTTGATTAGTCAAATATTTTGAAAGTTATTTAGAAAAGAACTTGATAATAATTTTTTTGCTTGTTATTTTTGGAATAATTTTAAAACGGCTCGACCGCTTGACATCAAAATCTAAATAACCTCAAAGTCTCAATGAACGTTTTCGAACGCCGTATCGTTCATCTCAATCGTTTAATTGTTTAAAAAGATATCATACGACAAAAAATTTTACACAAACACGGCCGGACGTTCAGCCAAAAATAGCCAGAACAGCTTCCTAGGACCCCAAAGCTTGGAGAACTGATGAAAACTCGTATTATCAAAATCTTCATCAAAAGTTTCATCCATGATAGATGTAGACGCCTATGGGCCACAGTATTAATTTACCATCGGCGAAATTTTTACAAAACAATTTACATCACTTAATCTTGAAATGAAGAAAAATTGACCTTTTCTCATTTTATTGCTCGGTAAAAACGAAAAAAGGCAGTGACTTATTCAATAAAAATATATTTACCGCCGGGAACCATCTCTTGATAAACATCCTCAGGGTGTATTGGACATTTGTTCCAGAATTGACCGGACATTTGGTGTTCGTGAGGAAGTTGCAGGTGTTTGCATCGCTGCTGAGGTCATATGGGATGGGAATCGGGCCCAAGTAAGCGGTCGCTAAGGTGCGCATAGACTCGAGATCACGTGCTGATAAGAGAATCGGTGTGCCATTATAACATAATTTTGTTACACATTTACATTATAACACCTGGGAACTAAATGGAACAATAACTTACGAGCTTTGAATGTCATGTGGATAACAGCATCCTGGAGCTGAGGCAGAACACAAGGAGGATTATCGCAGCCTTCGATGCGAGTGCTGAGAGGCAAATCTCCAGCGTGCTTGATGCCTGTTATAAAAATTAAAATGAAACAATTTGATTTATATAATAAATTTCTTTTTAAACATTTATAATATTAATTTTAAGCAGCGAATAATTTATATAGTGACGTTTCTTGTTTCCCATTATAGCTCTAACTGAATTTTTCCAATTAGTAATATATTGCTGCTTTAGTTTTCGCAGATAGTGATACACATGATATAATTGGCCTCTTTCAAACGAGTCTTTGACATAATTCCTTTTGTTATTGTGCAATCCAGTATGCTTTCCTTGGGAGAGTCCACACTCACCGTACCAGGCTGGCAAGTAAGCATGGAGCTGTCATCTTCACATTGCTCATCAAGTTTCTGTCATAGTCGTGGAAATTTAAATTTAGCGATTTTGGATGAATTTCCTGCCATCAGTGGTTCGCCACAGATCATCAATAAAAATGGTAGGGCTCAAGTTGAGAGAAAGATTTGGATATTGTTTCAGTTGGGAGAAAGATTTTCATATTCTTTCAGTTGGGAGAAAGATTTGCATATTCTTTCTCATAATAATCCATTTCTTTAGATTTATCTCAAATCTTAATATCTATCACGTAACATGGTTTCGTGGATGTTGTAAATGAATTATAAAATGACAGCTGAGACAAAAAATAGTTATAAGAATATGTGAAATGTTTCAAATCTGATATATTACGTTTATTTACGTCCATTACTTACATCTGATTACGTTGGTACCTTCAGCAATAGCTAGAGCAGCGCTCAGTAGTACTAGGAATTTCATCATCTTCGCGGTTGTTTTACTACTTATAATATATCTTACTTAATTGTGACTGATATATTTTACGCCAATTTTTTGATTTTTATATACTTCTGTTATCTATTGGGTGTGCAATACCTGCCTAGTAGATTTTACTAAGAGGCTTAAACTGTATCTAATAAATTAATCTATGTTACTATTCGTTGCTACCATAAAGTAATTAACCTACTTTTTAAAGTTGTAAACAGTGCTCTAAACACGATGATGAGTGGAGAACTACGCTTTGAATAGAACAGACTGGAATAGAATAATTTTTATTCAATATAAATTACGTGAACACTTATCGAAAGTCATTTAAGGTTTTGGTTCAGGAAAATCCTCTGTCGTGGGAAAAACCAGCAAGAAACCCAGTGGGACTTTTATAAACATGAATTTAAAATATAATTATTTTATACAAGTCATGAGTATATTCAGAAACAGCATGGTAGCAATCATCTCATTTATTCAATATAAATTACGTGAACACTTATCGAAAGTCATTTAAGGTTTTGGTTCGGGAAAATCCTCTGTCGTGGGAAAAACCAGCAAGAAACCCAATGGGACTTTTATAAACATTAATTAAAAATATAATTATTTTATACAAGTCATGAGAATAATCAGAAACAGCATGGTAGCAATCATCTCATTTCTAGGGGTTATTATCAATCATGTACTCTTTGATATGAAAACTCGTATTAAAAATTATTAAAAACTTTTTGCTTAATAAGTAATATGTAAAGGACTGCTACCAAAACTAGTATAAATCCTATACCTTTAAACGAGCAATTCTTGTATATATATATAATCGGAATCTCGGGAACGGCTCCAACGATTTTCATAAAATTTTGTGTGCAGGGAGTTTCGGGGGCAATAAATCGATCTAGCTAGGATTTATTTTTAGAAAATGTCTTTTTATTCGTGTTTTTAGGCAATGAAAAACTGCTACAATATCGTTAGATTATTCTAACGATATTGTAGCTACTTAAATATTTATTATTTTATTTTATTATTCAAATTATGTATTGTACCAGGTTTTTTTTTTTTTTTCAAGTTCTTTTCTTTTTTGAGAAAATCTATTTTTTCGAGCCCTTTTTTTAGTATTTTTTAAAACACGAAAATTTTAATTAAACTAATTGCACTCATGATTTTTTAATCAAATAACCAGTTCAGTTTTTTCTATTATGTCGCTAAGATCAAAAAATATTATTCGTATTTCATCAGTATGTAATTTGTATCTAAATATAATTTCCAAAACACACGAATTAAAAAAACCGAGCGAAAAATACCGAGCAAAGCTCGGTCAACCGGGTACTAAAATATAAAATTTACCCCTTCGTTTATAGGACTTTATTTATTCATTTAATTTTTATTACACGTCTAGTAATAAGCGATATAAAGGGTGGACTTAATACCTTTTGGCATTCCCTTCCAGTCAACACTGGTTGATTTGATTGAACTCTTCACAAATAAGTTAGAGATTAGGTACACAATTCGTTCGGTCGTCATTGATACTAGTTAACAAATTATAAGGTTATTTGTTTTAATAAATTTCTCAGAAAATATACATTTCGCCTCCTCAAAGATCTATAACGCTTTTCAACAAAGCTGGTATCTCTCTCGCTGGAGTCCTCTTCCCTCCCGGACCGCTCTCGGAGTGCGTGTCTGCACTGTCACCGCTAATTTTCTTATTTTTAATAATTTAAAAATAATTTTAAAGTAGTAAAATCGTACGATATACTAGGAGTGCATAAGTGAAGATACGTTGGCTGCTACAACAGTAAGGCCAGCGCCATACTTGACGGAAATTCCGTCACAGATCTTCCGCGGCGGAACGTCAATACATGTTATTGCATATAAAGTACAAATAGCGGCCACACTACGCGGAAGATCGGTCGTTCCGTCGCGGACGATCAGTCGCTCCGTGGCGGACTGCTTGCTCTCGCGTCTGCTCCGTCCTCCGCGCACCGATCTTCTGTCGGCGTAAGATCGGCAACGTCGCGTTCCAGGTATTTTCGCATCGTATGCATCGCGCCACATTTGGCGGATAACTCGCGGTGACGGCGCACGCATAGGATGTTCGACACTGAACGATTTATTATCGAAGTGCAAAATAGAGTTTGCCTTAGGGACTCTAGAGAAAAGCCAGATAGAACGCCAAAATGAAAATTCTTGTAATGAATTATCAAGTAATGCAAACTCACAACTAACTGTAACTGAGAATTTGAGTCCAACTCAAACCGATGAAGTTCCAGGGACCTTTCAAACAAAAAGAAAACCAGAAGTGAAATAATTTTTCTCATTTACACTATTAATATTTTTATCTTACTTTAATGTAACGGTCAGCCTTTTTTCAGGAGATATAGCCGTTCTAAGTTTTGTATTGTGCTTGGTAATATAGTCCTTCGTTAAATTCAACAATACATCAAATGATTGTACGGACTTTCGATAATATTCGAATGATTTATCTGGATTATAATAATAATAATAATAATAATATTTTTTTAAAACTTTAACTTGTAGTAAATATAAAAAAATCTTACATGAGATACATTACAAAAATACTAGTAAGGGTGACGTTTTGTTCTCCTTGCTAGAATAAGAAATAGCCTGTATTAAGGAGATTTAGTCCCTTACCTTATAAAAGTGATCGGAAAGCAAAAATTGCTGTGCGTGCGTGCGTGCGTGCGTGCGTGCGTGCGTGCGCGCGTGCGTGCGTGCATGCGTGCGTGCGTGCGTGCGTGCGTGCGTGCGTGCGTGCGTGCGTGCGTGCGTGCGTGCGTGCGTGCCCGCGTGCGTGCGTGCATGCGTGCGTGCGTGCGTGCGTGCGTGCGCATGTGCGTGCGTGCGTGCGTTAGCGAACAGGCTAGTAGAAAGCAAAAACCACCTATGTTTACCAACGACAAAAATGAAAACGAGAACACGAATTCGAGGAAGAATTTAACACGTTTAAGGGTGAAATGAAGAACATGATTACATCGCTATTTCGCTGCACAACAAGCTGAACTGAAAAAATTTGTAACGACTCAAATTGAAATCAAACAAAATAACAATAGCATACAAGAGTGTCTTGATTTTCTCACGGTCCAAAATGAATAACTGAAAAAGAAATTGGAACAGTTTGAAATTCAATGATGAAAAGATAAGGACTACATTATTATCATTTAGGATAAAATTGTGTACCTGCAGCGTGTAAATCGCAAATCTACTATTGAACTCAAGAACGTTCCTCTTATCACTAACGAATCTAAAGAATATCTCACAAAAATGGTAGATAACGTGCCTCTCAAGGAGCATTCATTGCAACTTTAGAAAGGAAGATCAAGGACATTTACGGAATGCGTGGCAAGCAAAAGTCCAATAAAAGCTCACCCATCGTGGTCAAACTCTCGTCAACATTACTCAAGTTAGATATCTTAGAAACGTGCAAGCTCTTTAATAGTATAAATAGAGAAAAACTGCGAGCTAAGCATTTAGGAGCCACCAAAAACGAATAAACCCCTATATTTGTATCAGAACAATTAACTGCTCGATGCGCTCGTATACAACTGAAGGGTATAATGATGATGAATGATAACATATATTTTAAATATACTTACATATAAAAATATAATATATTTTAAATAGAAAACATAATATCAACCCATATATAAGCAGAAATATTAAGAAAGTGAACTGCTGGTAGAAGAAAAGTAATGTTCAGACATCATTCCCTTAAAGGCATAACAGAAGTCGGTTTACTAATACCTGGAGGCAGTTTATTCCAAAGCTTTATGGCCTCAGCGGCGAAAGACTGAGTCACGAGGAAAAACACATAAGTTACTATGTACGTTGATCTCTCTACGTCATCTTCTGTGGTACTACGTCATATAGAGAGATCTAAGTAATCCGAATCGATCACTCTTATCATTAAAACTCTTACATTGTTATAATTTATTTATAGAAATTTACATTAAATTTCAGACACACGTAGATAACTTGCTTACTTGCAACATCGGACTGATAATGCACACGGTAATGTTAAGAAATGATTTTATTGTACACCTGCAGTCTAGACTAAGTCCCTGATTATGTTGTTTCTTAAATCACTCCTAGTCACTAACGGCTTAGTGATAACACAAAATCACTATGAAATTCAATAACGTGATTGATTTTAATAGACATTACATTGTAGTCCGAGTAGTGGCGGTGTTTTCACTACTCCATATGGAACTGATGTCGTTGGGAGTAGCAGCGGGAAGCAAGCCATGAGATATGCAGCAGCGTCTTTATAATAACATCTGGAAAATAAGAAAACTTCGGTTACCAAACCGCCTGCCAGGGTTGCCAAATATCCCCCCATGAGGCAAATGGGGGAAACCTATATTCAGCAGTGAACTTTTGAGAGGCAGTAACAATGCACTGTGTTTTTTAACTTCCCAGTGGGAAGTTATTGTAATGGGTCGGATTTTGCAAATTGGAAATTTTAACATATCTCAACGTTGTAAGGTCTTTAGAGTCGAATAGTATGGTTTTTAAGAGGACGTCCGTGTGTACATGTACGTATGTATGTATAAATGTATGTTTGGATTCAATTTTCGCCTCGTGTATCTCGAGAAAAAAGAGTGATATTGACATAGGACCAGTTTCATTTAACGCATAATTATGTAACTTAGACTTCATTAAATTTTGATCAAATTGGTCATGTCGTTTTTTGCGCCGAATGAAAAATTGTATAAAATATGAAAACGTATGATATTTTTTTATTCTTTCCACTGGAAAGTTAGTCGGACCTTTCGGGTCGCACCTAGACTGCGTTTTTTTAACTGCTACTAGCCAGCGTTTGAGTATTATCTCACCTGATGGCAAGTGGTGATGCAGAGGGTAAAGTGCACTGACTCACCTCAACGAAAGCTTATTCACTCGCCTTGAAGACACCCACATTACAATCGAATAGATCGGTAAAACTCCTTCGCGGTACGAATTATGAACGACAAAACAAATAGCATGCATGGTATATCGACAATAATGGAACGGTGACCAGCCAGTCTGGTGATCGGATGAGATTTTTTTTTCTATTAGTTATTCATCATCATTATTAAAGCTCATTACAAATACACGGCTGAAATATATATCCCATGTTGAGATCCATAACTGAATATAAAATATATATTATTAAAAAAGGAAGGCTTTTGCAGGGAAGACGATACAGCCAAGAGATATAAGGAAAGAGAAAGAAGTTGTCTGGCTATGCGGCTGAGATCAAGAAGCGCCGTTTTCTGCATTTGAGCCCATAGCTCTTTGTCACGCCCTTCTAGTCTCCTGAGAAAAACTAAGAAGCTAGCCGGAATCAATCTGTTCGCAGAAATGACCACAGAAATAATTTCAGCCGTCAATAACCTCCCCACAGATTTTCTATTACGGAGGATATTTGCCACTGTTGCCACTTGGCGGTGGGTTTCAATCATAGCTTTTTATTATTTTGATTTACTATCAAAGAGTACTTTTCTTATCCTCTTTCGCTTCTCACGACACGCACTGGACAATATTGGTGAAAGGATATTCTTACGTCACCACTACACGGCTAATTTTGTTATAAACATTACGTTAAGTGTACTCTACATTTTGTTCAGCTTGAATTTTGAATGACAGATTAATACTCCATATCTAATACCAACTGATTCTTTGCATTTTTATATGGCTATACTATACGAACTGAGGCTTCCTAGTGGTCTACTGTTCGTATGTGTAACTGCTGATCATAAAGTATTGCTTCAAAATTACGAGTTTGGTCAAAATTCGGTTATTGAGTGTTTCTGTCGAAGGATTGTCGCAACAGCTGAGAGTCAGGAAGTTTTTTGCCTTCGAAAGAACGTATAGATATTGGTCCTTACAGATCATGCACCTTACTCCGGTTGTGTTAGATTGACTTCCCATGGGACTATGAGATTTTACGCTGGTATTCTGTGAAAGCGTGGTCCTTTCCCGTTCGAGCCAACCTATTCGTGCTGCAATTATAATATTGCTGCAGCCTGACTTCCACACGTCAAAAAACGAACATTTTATTATAAATTGAAAACAATATCTCAGGTGTAGTCCCATTTAAAAGTATGTATGTTCTGTGGGTGTAATCCACCTTTTATCGTAAATATTTCCAGTTTTTGTAACTAATTTTACATTAAAATAGGAAAATTTTGTTAGAATTTGAATTACAGGCATCCATCACGGTTTAAATTTGCCTATCACCACCCGCATCGAAGTCTGCAACAATTTTTCCATTCCTTTTAACACGGTGATAACCTAATATACATTTTTCTATCCTCTACTTTGTCTCATTTACTTACACCATACCCTGTATCTGCTTTCCATTCTCTTGAATAAAACTATTTTTAAGGAATTTATCGCAATTTAATTTACATATTCTTCATACCCAACGTTCTTTTGCAGCGTATATGATCACAGGGGGAGGGGGTTCACGGGAATTAAAAAAAGTAACTTAAACGCGAAAAAATATTCAAAAATAGTTTTATTCATTGTGTAATAATGTATTACGGCTAAAATGTTTAATGATTATATTTCAATCATCATAATTCAAACGAGGTTCATCATCATCATGACAGCCTTTCACAAGTCCTCTGCTGGACATTGGCCTCCCCTAAGTATTGCCACAACGCACGGTTCTGAACCTCCTGCTTCCATCGACTGAAACGAGGCTGGTTTATGTTAATGAACCTAACACGTTTGTTTTGTAGGTGTAAGAGTCACACCATACGTGTCGTAATTGAAGGCCATAAAAATGTCAAAAAAGTATTCACATCTTTGGCTAGATGGTAGGTAAATCATCTCCTTATACCAGATATACGTAGGCCGCAGATTGTACCAAGGATGCAAAACTTCTGGTTCTGCAATTGTCAATTCGGCTGATAAAATTTGAAGATTATGTATTTTTTTAATTCGTTGGCTCGACTTGAGAAGGGTTGTCCTATGTTTTGAATGGTAAGTGACAAGAACTAGATAATTTTTTTCTGGTAAGGTGGCATTCTATTAACCCCTAAGGGGTTACAACGTATCTGCATATTGATTCTGAATCTATGAGTATTGAGCCACAGCATTCATTTACCATCAGGCGAACTGTGTGCTCATTTGTCACCAAATAGTAATTGAATGATGAAAGAGTACTCAAATCTGGGGTATTCATGACTGTTTAATTATTAAATAATAATTTCTTCAAATAAAGCAAGTATGCTTACTGTAAATTGAAACTGATATTATTTTTGCAGCTACTGAATTTATTTTCAGAAACTTTTTATGAACAATTGGAAATATAAAATTTAAGTTGATTGCTCAAATTTATTTCTATAAATTTGTTACATAATATTAATTTATTCATTCCATTGTTTAAACACCATAAAATTAGTATTCATACGATATGGTTCGCAAAAGCTTTTCTTTTCAAACGCTTCCACCAAATCAGTACTGAGGTGATGGTTAATTATAGTTGTACATCTTAGATCTCTAGTCAACTGACCCAATGGAGTTTCTAGATGATAAATATCAACAGGCTGTTTCGAGTATTCTTGTACTGCAAATGGTGTAGTCACTGAATCAGCACATATCATAACAATTTTGGAATTAAGCCGACGTGGCTGGGGCTTGTAGCACCGTACTTGTTCAATGCGATCAATGGCTGATTTAAGCACAGCTCTAATATACTGTGACGTCAGCCCCTTATGTGTCAATATTATCTGCACCGCAGTTTCAACTTTCTCATCTAAGGAATCACACGTGTCTAAAGCTTGTTCAAGTTTGCCAGTGTCTTCGATTAGCGAACCGAATATTGTCTTTATGACTGCTTTATGTATTTCGTCATCAGTATCCAAACCTTTCAAATGTTCTTCGAGAGTGGTTTGTAATTCAGCTGGAGGAACCCCAATACAGAAGACAGTTCCCTTTAAACCTGCAATTATTTATTTAACTTCATAAACACAGACATATATAAAGGCAAACTTAGTACTTAAGGTGTTCTCTAACAATCAACCATAAATTACTGTCAAGATAAAAAGAGGAAAGTTTAAAAATAAGTTACAAAAGCAAAATAAAAAGGAATAACTTATATATGTACGCTATCTAAGTTAATCGAGTTTACCACCTCTATCTGATTTTGCAAGTCATCAAATTTATTAGATAACGTTTCAAATTTGTAAAGTTTTAAAGTCAATTCCGATAGTTAGATTTTGGTTAAATTTTCTCTTGTGATAAATTAGGAAATTTCAATTATATTTCATATAAGTAAAACTACATAGTTTTTTTAGTTAAGGATCACTTGACCCTTTCCATTTTATTTTGACGATTATTAATCTACTAAGGTCATTAAACACATTCAGTCGAAGCGGGTTAAATCGATATTTAAAAAGTTATTTCTATGCCTATTTAATTTTGAGGTATTTCAGTACAATTAGATTTCATACTCACCCCTTTCTTCCAATATTGAAACCATTTCTAACGTAACAAGTATACCACTTTCGTATCCCACAAGATAGAAGTTATCTTTCAACTTCATTTTCTTTAATAATATCTGGAAAAAAAAGGTTTTTTATGATTTATTAAAAATCTTATTTGAAAGTCCAGTGTTCGAAAGAGTTCAGTGTGCTACAGTTACCGTTACAGCTTATTAAAAGTACGAGGTCTGTTCAAAAAGTATCGCGAATTTTGAATTTCCGCGGGCTACGTATATTTGATTTTCGATTTTTTTGTAGCCTTATGTTGGTACTCATGTCCCTTACTTATGCTGACAAGGTCGGCCATTTTGAATGTTTAGTTAATTTTTGACAGCTGTTTTGCTTGGATGTGTTTTGGCTCGTCTTCGATTTTTGCCTATTCCAAAAATGGATCAAAGTATCTGTACTAAAATTTGTATGAAAAACATAATAAAGTGCCCGGACGCATTCCAAATGTTGACTGTGGCATATATTGAAGCTACCTTAGATCAAAGCAACTTTTATCGGTGGTACAAAATGTTCTCAGAGGGCCGAGAAGATGTTAACGACGAACAGCGTCCAGTACGCACGAGCACCTCAATAACAAACGATAACATTGATAAAGTGAAGAAAATATTATCGATCAATCGTCGAGTCACCGAAAGAGAAGTTGCTGAGGACCTAAACATATCGATTGGCTCGTGCCATTCGATTATAAGTAATGATTTGGGCATGAGTCGAGTCGCCGTGAAATTCGTGCCATAATTGCTCAATTTCGACCAAAAACAGCATCGCGTTAACATTGCTCAGGAGATATTGGACTTGTTTCGTGATGACCCAAATGTGCTTTAGAGGGTTATAACTGGTGACGAATCATGGGTTTATGGTTATGACGTGGAAACCAAAGCTCAATCATCCCAATGGAAGCTGACGCATGAGCAAATACCGAAAAAAGCGCGCCAAGTTCGGTAAAACGTGAAGGTTTTGCTCGCTTTTCTTCGATTGCAGGGGCGTGTTGCATCATGAGTTCTTGCCACAGGGTAGTACGTTCAATAAGGAATATTACCTGCAAGTAATGCGCAATTTGCGCGAACCAAAAACGCCCGGATTTGTGGAAGTGCAAAAACTGACTTTCGCACCATGATAATATATAATATAATATTTGCGCCCCTGCTCACACATCGTTGCTTGTGCGCGAATATTTATCCAAAAACAACACAGTAATGATCCCACAGCCACCGTATTCCCCAGACCTGGCCCCCTGTGACTTTTTCCTGTTCCCAAAACTGAAAGGGCTCATGAAAAGATGACGATTGAGGAGATAAAAATGGCATCGAAGGAGGAACTGAAGAAGATCACGAAAAATGATTTTTTTAAGTGCTTTGAGGATTGGAAAAAACGTTGGCACAAGTGCATTATATCCGAAGGGGATTACTTTGAAGGAGACAAAATAGATATTCATGAATAAGTAAATACTTTTTGAAAAAATACAAAATTCGCGATACTTTTTGAACAGACTGTGTATACTGCTTAGCCTCCCTATCTATGGGGGTGGCTAAGCAGTGGACTATTGGTACTAGTGGACATCAAAGGCGGAATGAATGCTACAATTGCCACGCTTAACAGGCGAGTTAGCAATTGCAGTTTTTATTTACGTTGTTATATTACATTTTTATTTTTATTAATAAGTACTCGTATATGAGACCATCCAGACTAAACCATGTCTTGATTTACTTCCCTCCGTCACCTCTTACGACACCTACTGTATGATATGGGATAGTAAATATTCTAACATTACCACTACATGGTTCGCTTTTGGCCTTTTGGATAAGATCGGTGTTAGACAAATAGAGAGCTAGAGAGAGAAAAAATAGAGCCGTGGTAACTCAGACAAAGAGCCATGGTATTTCAGATGGTTAGCGCTCGCGGTAAATTTCACAGTAAGCGAGCAACTCGCACCCCCACTTGACCAAATTGTTAATTGCGATTCTAAGTATTCGTGCCACGTGCTCGGCGGTGAAGAAAAACATCGTGAGGAAACCTGTATGTCTGAGAAATAAGAAAAAATATATTTCGAAGACATGTGAAGTTCACCAACACGCGTTGGGGCAGCGCGGCGGACACTTCCTTGCCCTAAAACCCTCTCAGAAATGAAAGGAGGCCTGTGGCCCAGTAGTGGAACGTATATAGGGTGTAACAGTGTTACGACAAACTAAATTTAATTTACTTTTAAAAAAATATTATGTTTCATTTACATTTTATTTTCATTTTATAAGATTCAAACCTATAAACTGAAATCAAATAAATAAGGAAGCTTCCGGATTATTTACCACGATCGTTGGTGCACCATTACTAGTATTTAAACCATATGAATACATTTTGACTCAAGTGCAATTTAAATCTACCAAGAGACTGAATCATACGGTATCCATAGTTAAGATAAATACTGGATCATATAATAGTTTACCGTGTACTGGAGGTTTAATAATAGCCACCACCTCATATCGTCCCATGGGTGTCGTAAAAGGGGACAGAGAGAAAATAAAATAAGATGAGCAGCAGCATCTTGCTGATAACATTTTATACGTGGTAGAGCCATTGCCGTTATGTAAGTAGTATAGTTGTAACACGAATGGGTCGGCTCGGCTGTGAAGGGACCATGCTGTCACAGAACACCAGCGTAAAATAGTAGCTTAATGCTGCTGTGTTTCGTATGGTGAGTGTAGAGAACCGGAAACATTTTTTACTGGAAACGAGGCATTCCATTTTAGTCCTCACGGGTGACAACGCATCTGCATTTTGATTCGTAATCAAGGATAGATGTAGATGTCTATGGGCCACAGCGACCACTTACCATCAGGTGGACTGTGTGTTCGGTTGTCATCCTATCCTTAAAAAAAACTAAAATCGTAAAAATAAACTGCGGTCGTTAACCCGCCTGCCGCTATTAAGCAATCTACGGAGGAGGCCTACGTTCAGTAGTGACTTTTGTATACTGTAATTAATGGATGGATAGAGGACATAAAATAGAGTAGATACGGGAAATATACCTCGGCATATCGACGCGCTTGTTCCTGAACGGTCTCGTCGTTGTGGTGGAATCCAGGCTGTAAAACTAAAGCGGGTATCTTCAGACGTTCGCAGAGCAGACGGAACCTTTCGTGGTGTCCCTCGAGACCCGGCAAAATGTACAAGTACGTGTTTTCGACATCGAAATCGTCCACTCCCTGGAAGTATGCCGCAATTAGAAATCAGAGTGCTTGCTTTTAAAATTAAAATTATTAATTGCTATTATAGTCCTAATCATGAATTTCAGTACGCGTTTGTTAGGAAAGGTGAACATTATGAGTTAAATTCCATCATTTGAGATTATAATGACAATTAAGCACCGTTTTACACAGCACAAATGTTCGACTCTAAACACGGATCGCTAGGCTTATTACTTTTTATTTATTGTATTATCATCATTATTATAATCATCTTCATCATCACCAAAATCAAAAACAACGACATCAACCTTTAGAAATCCAGTATTAGCCTTTCCAAGAAATCGCCAAAAAATTGCAAACATTTTTCATACAATCACCGAGTTAAAAAGCGGGCTGGTCAGCGAAACTGTAGGTTTGATAACTCTGCTCTTTATTATTTATCTGTAAATGTTGAGTTCAGCATTTGGATGAAATTTCAATCATCACACGCTTCAGCCTATTTCATTTAGCAAGGTGCACGTTGTTTTGACGCGTACTTAGATCAATAAATCTACAAAATTCAAGTTTATTAGTAGGAATAGACATCCGAAAGAATATTTTTGAACATGAGAAACATCTACATTGATTTTTTATCCCAAAAATTCTTAATAGAAATAATTAAAATAAGTCTTTAAAGCCATTTTAAACTGGCTAATTGTAAATATACAAGTTGTAAAAGGAGGGGCAAACCATTCTTAAGCATATTATGTATATATGCAAAAATTGATTAATTTAGGAATCTTTTTTTTCTTTTGACCATTTAGTTTTATCTTAAGCACCCAAATTATATAGTTTAAGACAAGACAATATCACAGTATGTTTAATGTGATATTTTATAATTTTATACTACAAATAGACCACTGAAATTGGATTATTTTTGTTTATGTTAGTTTGCAAGAATTAAAACGTAAAAATTACATGTAAATAAACTACCTTAGAATAAGCCTGAGTCTGCATCTGAACCATTGTAGTACTGGCAAGAAGTTCATTGGAGTCCACGTATGAGAAAAAGTTCCTCAATCCTTTGGTTTTCTTGAAACCGGTCCATATTAGAGTGTCTTCCAATTCATGTATGCTGTAATGAAACAAAAATATTAACCCGTTTTAAACGTGGTAGAGCCATGCTGCAGTTATATTAGTAGTATAGTTGTAGTACGAATGGGTCGGCTTGATCGGGAAATGACGACGCTCTCACAGAATACTCACAGGATAAATGTAGATGTCTGTGGGCCACAGCAACAACTTACCATCAGGTGGACTGTGTGCTCGTTTGTCACCCTATCCTAAAAAAATACTCCTAGTCCAGTTATATAAGAATTTTTAATATTCGGAATAAAAGTCTAATAGCTAAGGGGCGAATACATTAGCTACTGCATGGCTTCATCCCGTGGTATCACGAAGAGAAACGAGAGATCACACCATAGAACTGTGTGGCCAATGCGCCAGATCTACGCTGCAACTACGGGGAGCCAAGATCTTTCAACAGGGGCCAAGATTTGCAGTGTTCTTTATTGTGATTAAGTTTAACGTAAGACCATTTTTACATGTAAATGAATGATTTTTATTCAATGTAGATTATTGTATAACACTTATTGAAAGTCATTTTTTTATTAAACACTGGTTCATAAAAAAGCCTCTGTCCTGGGAAGAACCAGCAAGAAACCCAGCGAGACTTTTTTAAACATATTTCAATTTACAATACTTTAATTTATTTTGTAAAATTTTTGTACGAATTTTTAAAGACCCAGCATGGTGGCGATCACCTCATTCCCAGGGGTTTATTTTAATTTATGTATTCATTTATATTGTGATAACCTTTTTTGCACAATTTGTCTTTAATAAAACATTTGAACTTATTTAATGACAAATTTTGTACATTTTCTGGAATTTTGTTATAAAAGCGTATACGTTGTCCCATAAATGAATTACTAATTCTGTGGAGTCTAGTAACTGTATTACAAGTTTATGTATGTTCATAGTGTTTAAAGAATGAACATCTTTCATGTTCTTCATCTATTTATGTTTTTGTGTACATACATTAACATTTTCATAAATATATTGTGATGCCAATATGTTTATTTCCTTAATATTTTTTCTCTAAGGGACTCTTTACAATTTAAGTTATAAATCGCCCGTACGGCTCTCTTTTGCGAAACAAATATGACTTCAATGTCAGCCGCATTACCCCATAGTAAGATTCCATAAGACATTACGCTATGACATAAAGACATGACATCTTAGTCTTCTGGGGTATTAACAAACCTATATTTTTATTTTTAATCGAGGTTAGATGATGGTGGTCTTCGGTGGTGTCTTTGAGCTAAAGCATCTTCATACCATCAGGTAGACGGCGCACGTCCATAAACTTTTACTTAATAAAAGTCAACTACCCTATTAATCTGGGTCTTTTTACAGATGCAATTTAAAAAGAAAGATTTTTCGGTTCTTTTCTTGTAATAGAGAAATTTGTAGCTTACATTTTCAAGAAAGAAAATAATAACATTAAATACCTCACCTTTTTGCAGTAAACTGACGTATTTTTTGATCATCTATTGTCAAGTTATACTTATCATGTAAGAACTTGCTTAGCACGTCTACTTTATAATCTAAAAGGCCAAGACTTTCGAGAGTGCTATCCTTAGACGCCGCTACATCAATACCTTAAAGAATACACAAAATATAAGGAGCTATTTTAAGCTAATACAATTATTGAATACGCCTTCGTAGTGTAAGTAGGCAATAAAATGCTAAATAATCCCATGTACAACATTGAACATTACGTGTTGATAAAGGAGATAAGACACCAATGTATTTTCCGACATGACAGTACCAAAAGTCAGAATCATACAGAGGAAATATTATAGAGGATTTAATCAGGAGTATCAAGATGATGACTCCATGGCTTAGTAATTAGTTCCAACGCGGAAAGATGTAGGTTTGAATCCCGCACGGAACTTAGCCTATAACTACAAATAATTGTTTAATTGATGTTCTTATGCAATTGTATCTGTAAACTGCCACCGTGATACAGGAGAAAATTCTGATGGTAACATTTCGTTATTAAAAAAGAGAATAAAAAGGATCTGTAAAATTGCCTTGTGGTAGCGGTGCAAGATTTCAGAGGATATAGAGCAACATATATATATATATATATATATATATATATATATATATATATATATATATATATATATATATATATATATATATATATATATATATGGTAGGACTATTATTTTGCATTGGAGATCATCACGGCTGGTACCACCATCTTTTACACATTTTTAAAGTGCTGACACCTTCGCGTCCCGGTCTAAAGGGAAGCAGTCAATTACAGGCTGTAAGGCGTTCAATCTAAGTTCTAAAAAGTGGTAACGCATGTGTAGCCTTTTCTTTTACACGGTCTCTAGTAAACACTACTTACCATCAGGTGGACTGTGAATTCGTTTGTCACTTAAATGACATAACATAAACACTCACGCCTGTCACCCAGAGGGGTAGGCAGAGACTACGGACTTCCATTTGGCACGATCCTGACATACCTCTTTCGCCTCCTTTACATCCATATATCTACGCATACATGCTCGTCGGTTAATCGTCGGGCGGTCGGGAAGTACCCACTTCTAACGTGGCCTATTTTCCAAATATCGCCAATTTGGTCGATAAACTGCTTTCTAGGGCGTCACTTAAATGCTTTTTAAATAACGTTCTTTCCTAATCACAACCTCCGTGAAGATTTTTTCATTGACATAACCAAATTGATATATTAATATATACTACAAATGAGGGTGATACATAACTTTTCTACCACCAAGGCGCCACTTAGTAAAGTTACAGCCTATATACGTCCCACTGCTGGGCACAGGCCTCTGCTCATTTTTGAGAGGGTTTTAGGGCGACGAATTGTCCGTCGCGCTGCTCCAACGCCTGTTCGCGAACTTCACATGTCTTCGAAATATTTTTTCTAATTTATCTGACATGCAGGTTTCCTCACGATGTTTTCCTTCACCGCCGGAAACGTAGTAAATCAGCACTAAAAATTGCAATTAACAATTTCTTTGGTGCCAGCGGGAATCGAACCTGGTTTGCTCGCATACTGTGAAATTTTCAGCGAGCGCTAACCATCTGAGCTACCACGGCTCTAGGGCGCCACTTAGAACTGAAGCGAAATATTTGTCAGATTTCATTTCGGAGGAAGTTAAATCGGTAGAAAAGATTATATTTATTTATGAAATATTAGTTATATTTTATACTAATTACTTTAGAAATGGATAAACCAAACTATGAATATCCCTATAAATAAAAAAAAGTTAAAGAAAATAAAAGAACAAAACATTGTTTTGTGTATACAAACACTGGAAACCGAAAAGTCTGTAATTAAATCTCACCTTATTTATGAAGATAAAACTGAGTGACCATCTGGGTAACTAATAAGTTACCTTAGTCAATCAGTTTTAAAAAGTTTGTTTTTAATAATCTATGCTACAGGCTTCTCCTTTGTTCACCTATTATAGTCTATTTTTTCTTTCATAGTAAAAAAGTCACTCGAAATATGCATTCGCTATAAATTTTTCAGCGGTGCGCATTACAATTGTATTCCAATAAAATTGTTAATTGTAATTTACCACGTACGGTAGCGGTGAAGAAAAACACCTTGAGAAAAATAGGTATTTCACGGGCATGTGATCAAGGGAAGAGCGCGGTGAGCGGTGGCCCCTAAACGCACTATAACACTGCGGTGGACCAATTGATACATAACCCTACGAAATATGAGGGTAGGCCTAACAGTGGTAAATATATAAGCTCCTATTTTAATTACTTGAGATGTGTTGTAACGGTATGTTGATTACTTACCTGTTATTGAAGAGATTTGTTTCAAGAGTGAAGGTCTTAACGGTTCCTTCGCTTCAACAGTAAATAAGCCTGAAGATGAAGATATCGCAGCTTCAACTGCGTTCAGTGCGGCCAGACAAGACATTTTGCTTAATGAAGCTGATTTATTTTCAGCGCCACTCTATAAACAAATACAAGACAACATTGACAGAATTAAGCTATTCGATTAGACGTATCCATTAAACAAAAAAAAATATTTAATTGTTTTTTTATTAATTCATTAGAAACAATTTTAACACGCTGTATATAAGCTTGGCCTGTATGGATATCTAAACGATTAGAAACTTTGCAGATGTGCTAGGTTGATTAATAAGTTTTGATAATAGGACACTCATGAATAAGTTATGGAAATGCGTTCTATGTTTTTCGTATGCAAAATGGAGAAACTTAGTGCGGTTATTAAATATTTCAGCTTGAAAAAATTTTGTACAAAGGTATTTTTGAAGATGTGCAGTCTAATTTTACAGACAATGCTCCCTCTTTTTCTACAGTAACATACTAGTGCGAATTAAAACGCGGCAGAACCTCTTGCAATAACGAACTTACAACTACGGCCACTATTCCAGAAAACGTTAAAAAAATCGAAATTTTTTGAAAGAGTTGAAATTTCAATGCTAAATTTAGCAAGATCTAGATTCTTTTAGCGCTCGTTTCGTAATCGTAGATAAAATGTGGGTACACAATATTGACCCAGAGACAAAGAACCGAAGCAAAGTGGGGAAAAACCGTCTTCTCCGTAAGTCAAGAGATTCAAGATGTCTGCATCCGCTGGAAAAATCGTGACCTCTGTCTTCTGGGATGCGGAAAGTATAATAAAGATCGAATATTTAAGTAAAAGAGAGACAACAACCAGAGATTATTACACATCATTAATCAAAACACTACGCGAAGAACAAAGGAATAAACGTTGAGGAAAATTGCATGCTAGAGTACTTTTTTATCATGATAATGCTCCTGCCCATAGATATGATACAGGCGAAACTGTCCGAACTGCTAGGTTTCGTTTGAATTGCATTACAGCGCCTACCATTTTCTCCAGACTTGGCTCCGAGTGATTTTCACCTTTTTATTCACATAATAACGCACTTGCGTGGTATACAATTCGACTGTGACGATGAGGTGATGTGTGCTGCAGAGTAAAGGCCTTTTTCGAGTATTATTGTCAAGCCTTTTTCCAAGGAAATTAACCAACTCGCAAAACGCTACTCAAGGGGTACTTACTTATCTTCACGCACAATCCCTAACGGGGTAGTCAGAGAGAACAGATCGCCAAGTGTCACGATCCTTACATACCTCTTTCGCTTCTTTCAGGTTCATTAACTTCTTCATACATGCACGTAGGTTGGTATCCGAGTACTCTTGACATTTCCCTCTTCGAGCAATTTGCTCACATGGTCTTCGAAAGTTAGTCTCGATCTACTTCGACACCTTTTAATATTTACTTTCGCTCTATATATTTTATTCACCATTCGGTCTTCACTCATTCGCTCAACGTGCCCAAACCATTGGAGTACGCCCCTATCAATTTTTGTGATAAGGTCATCTTTCAATCCTGCCATATTACGAATCTCTTCGTTTCGCTTTCGATCGGCTATGGTAACGCCACACATTTTACGAAGAGATCGCGTCTCCACTGCATTCAACTTGCTTTTATGCTTCTTCTGTCATACCCAGGTTTCGCTGCCATATAACAAAGTCGGTAACAACACTGCGTTATGTATTGCAAGGCGTGCACTCTTCACCACGCCTTGCCTTTTGACTAATGAATTCAGGGCACCATTGACTTTGTTTCCGGCAGCGACACGCCTATCCACATCTAAATCACATCTTCCATCCCGGCTGAAAGCACTCCCCAAGTATACAATTTCATTTACCTGTTCTAGACATTCCTGATTTACCCATATTTCACATTTCATTCTCTATTCGTCCTTTTCAAATACCTAAACCTTAGTTTTATTAGCATTCAAACGGAGACCCTTAATTTCACATTCCTCTTTCATACACGTGACTAATGCCTGCAGTTCTGCTTCTGATGGTGCAATAAGCACTGCATCATCAGCATACAGCAGACAATTTACTTTAATGTCACCCAATTTCACACCCAAACAGCTATTTTTCAGCTTCTGTAAACAGCTGTCGAGATACAGTATGAACAGCCGGGAAGACATGACACAACCCTGTTTTACGCCCGCTTGGACGCTAAACATGTCTCAGGCTTTACAGTCATAGTAAAGTGACTGCACAGCCCTTAATAATCGACCATCCACACCATATCCCGGCAACAGTTCCCACATTTTCTTCCTTATAACCTTATCAAATGCTTTCTCCAGAACCACAAAAGCACAGAAAATCCTCTGGTTAACACTCAGAAGCTTTTCCGTGATCATGTGGAGAGAAAATATTTGATCCGTGCATCCTCTTCCAGGTCTAAATCCGCATTGTTCCTCCCATAATAATCTTTCCGATTTCTCTTGCATCCTACGTGTCAAAACCTTCGAGTAAACTTTACTTGCTAAACTGGTCAAGCTGATCGCCCGATAGCACCCACAGTCAAAATGTGAACCTTTACCTTTATATAAAGGCACAATGACCGCGGATCACCAATCATCCGGGACATCTCCCGTCCGCCAGCACAAATTGCACAGCAGACGAAAGCTGTCCCAGACGCGAGGCCCACCGTACTTGACCATTTTAGCAGTAACTCTGTCTAATCCCGCAGCCTTACCACATTTCAAACTTGGAATCGCACGTTCAATCTCTTTCATGCTGATGACCTCAGTGTCATCGAGGTCCGTGTCTGGCGTGCCAGTCATGGCGTCACCCCCGGATCCTTTACTAAGATCATGACACGCATACATTTCTCCATAAAATTCACTCCATCGCTGCATGACGTCCGATTTTTCTGAGAGGACGTCATTGGTTCTCGAAAGCACTTTGTTCATTCTTAAGGCTGTCGCACCACTCCGGGACCTTCAAATCTCTTTCCAGAAGAGTTTGGAGTTTTCTTTAAAGTTGTGCGATAACCTCTCGTCCTCTTCTATTCTACACCTTTCACGTACTTCCTCAATCAATGTTTTCGCACGAACTTTCTGCAGCTTGTATCTTTCTTTCATCTTCTCTCTCATATGCTAGTATCGTTACTAGCGGCCAAGTAGTCTAACCATGCTTTTTTCTTCTTTTTTACAGCTTCTCTTACTTCATCATTCCACCATGCACCTCTTCTTTTACTACTACCTTTTTTTGTCGTTCCACATACTTCTTCCGCTGCACTTACCATTCCATCCCTAAGGTTCTGTCATGTTCTCTCCACACATTCTTTCCTGCCATCGATGGTGTCAAGCTTTTCGGCTACCCTCGTGTGATATTTGTCCCTAGTATCCGCTTCCTGAATCTTCCAGCTTCGGATGCGACAGACCGATTGTGGTTCTGTTACTGCCGTCCGGTAGCGCCAACCCGCGAACAAACCCCTAAATCTAGTAATTACTAGATAGTGATCCGTTCCCAGGTCAGCACCCTTGAACACTCGTGTATCCATCACCTGTTTTCGCAGTCGGTCATCCACCAGGAACAAATCAATCATACTTCTCTCATTCTTTCTTTCTCTAGTGTACATATGGATTTTCCTGTGATTAAACATAGTGTTTGTCACAAGAAGACCCTTTTCCTTGCATACAGCCAGTATAAGCTTGGCAGCATCATTAACTCTTTTATCGCCAAACTATCCAAGTACCGACTCGTATCCTGGTCGAGCGATACCTACCCATCCATTCAAATCACCACATACAACAGTTCTTTCGTTTCCCTTAACCGAATCTAGAACTTATCTTACATTCTCCCAAAACTCCTCCAGCTCAGCCTTGGACGACGAAGCTACCGGCGCATAAACAGGCAAAAGGAATAACTTCGTCAGTCCCAGTTTAAAGCAAACCCAGAGAAATCTTGAGTTCACAACCTTGTATTCAGTCATAAGATCGACCAACCGGGACGACAACAGCACCCCCACTCTCTGGCAGGCGTTCTCGCTTTCCGAGACTCCGGACCATATAGCTAACGTCCCGCCAGGGAGCTCTTCAGTACCACTGCCTTTCCGTTTGGTCTCCGACATACACACGACATCTAATTCTCTTTCTTTCATTATTTCGATCAACTCATTCGTCTTATCTCTCATGCCCCCTCTAACATTCCACGTGCCAACTCTGCACTCCGTCCTCCACCTTCCGCCGTGTAGGGCTGTGCGTGACGTGTGGCGGTCCCCATCGCCGCTTTGCGCGCTGCATTCCACACCAACGGGGACGAGCTGGTGTGCGTCGCCTTGGGGGGACGCCCTAGCTCCCGTTTGCATGGGTGCGCATCTGTGTAGAATTGCAGCCCTGAAAAGGGCTGGTAGGGGTCGCGACGAGCACGCTTCTTGTTAGATTCTGAATATAATCTCTCTTACATAGGTCAAACAAAGAGATCTATAAAAACCCGCGTGAAGGAACATATAGCTGATGTGAAGCACCGACGATCCGGGAAGTCTGCAGTCTGCGAACATGTTCAAGATCTTCCCCACCATTACGTTAGATTTGATAAACCACAAATTCTCGCAAAAGGACACAGATTCCTACCAAGGATGATACGCGAGGCTATTGAAATTATAAAACATCCAAATTTCAATAGAGAAGATGGTTGGGTGCTACCATCTGCTTGGAATCCTATAATTAACAAAATTTAACCCAAACCCAAGCATACCACTGCAAGACTTCATGATACTATAAGCTCGTTTTGCGTAAATCGGACCAAAAATTAATATTAAAAAAACTGAAGGTAGCCGGACTAACTATGACATTGGGACATCAAACATATCAGTTCCCCCCATGATCATAGGTGCTGTAAAGCACCCGAAACGTCGGGATAATAATAAAAATAAATTAAAGTAATTAAACGCGATAAAATCCGTAAATAATAGTTTTATTCAATGTGTAGTGTTCGCGTAAATTTAAGAAATCATTATATCATTATATATAGAAATTAAAAACTATAACTAACCTTTTCAAAGGATGTCAAAATTAATTCAGTAGCCGGTAACTTCTTTTGAATTCTTGAAAGACAGATCTGCTGACTCATATCTGCATCCAAGCTAACAATAAGGAAATGCCTGCAAATCGTCAAATATAAAATATGGAAACTATTTTGCATATCAATCAAAAATATACAGGCCTTTGTGCGAAACAGCTGTCTACATTACTAGATTACTAGTATTTAAATAAACATATTCTTTTGGTTGTTTACCAAATATTTCTACTAAATTCTACTTAAATCCAAACGAAGATCCAAACGAAAACAGTACTTACTTAAGTCGAGGACACAGATCTCTTGAGGCGATATCTAAATCATTCAATGTTGTTTTATTTAATGAAGCGCTTTTACTGTTCGTCGCCACGACACAAACACCATCTAGCTGTTTAGAATTAGCGTCACAAATAAAAAGTTGCATTGTTTTACTGTCGCTTAAATTTTCTGATAAAAGCTCAACGCTGACGCCAAGTTTCTGCCAGCATCTACAAACAGAGATAATAATTAAATCACAACAGTATACTAAAGATGATCGTCTATTGGCGGTGTAAAAATATCTCCTACCCCATTTCAACTGTAGATGTTTTTTTTTTGTATAGAATAAGAGTGACATACGAGCACACAGTCCACCCGATGGTAAGTGTATGCTGTGGCCCAGAGACACATTTATCCTCGATTAAGAATCAAAACGCAGATGCGTTGTCACTCCTGAGGACTAAGACGGAATGCCTTGTTTCCACTAAAAAAGGTCTCCGGATCTCTACACTGACTATCCAAAACACAGCAGTATTAAGCTGCTATTTGCTCCGCTCGAGCCGGACCATTCGTGCTACAACCATACTATAACTGCAACGTGGCTCTACTACGTATAGAAAGATGTCGTAAGAGGCGACAAAGGGAAACAAATTAGAACATGAGCAGCACCGACTTCTTAATAACGACTAAACATAAAAACTGTGGTTTCATATCCACTTAACACGGATGGCAACTATGGCACATAATCCCTCTTTTCAGGCAATATATGGGAAGGCCAATGTTCAGCAGTGGGCTCTAAAAGGCTGTAACGGTAACGATAACGTTTGCCGATAACGGTATACTAAAGAACGACATTTTGTGGCAGCGTTATACAATCTATCAACCCATTTTGTCTAGTTTTATAAGAGATGGAAAATATCAGAATAATTCTATGACTTTTGAAAGACAGCTGTATATCTCATTTATGCCTCGTGAAATATACCCAGACCAATAATGGGTATCAGGGCAAAATGTGCGAGACGTATGGCTCGTTTTACATGAACAAGAGATTCATCATCATCATCATTACAGCCCTTCATAAGTCCACTGCTGAACGTAGGCCTCCCCCAAACAATGCCACAAAGCACGGTCCTGAGCCACCTGCATCCATCGACTTCCTGCATGTCTTACCAGGTCGTCACTCCATCTAGTGGGGGGTTGCCTTACATGACGCCTACCGGTACGAGGCTGCCACTCGAGAACCTTTCTTCCCCATCGGTTATCGGTTCTTCGAGCTATATGGCCGGCCCATTGCCACTTCAGCTTACTAATTTTTGGTTTGGTTGGGCTGTGTCGGTCACTCTGGTTTTACTGTGGATATCCTCATTTCTGAGTCTATCACGCAGAGAAACTCCGAGCATAGCCCTCTCCATAGCTCGCTGAGTGACCTTGAGCGTTCTCATACGGCCAGAAAAAGGACCACGTCTCAGATCCGCAAGTCATCACTGGCAACACGCACTGGCACATAACTGGCACTCACTTTAGTTTTCAGAGATTGAGGTTTACCTGACGAGAAGATGTGTCGTAATTTCCCGAACGCTGCCCAGCCGAGTTGAATCCGTCGATTGACCTCTCGGTCGAAGTTGGACTTACCTAGTCGGACTATTTATCCCAGGTAAACGTACTCGTCAACAACTTCGAGCATAGTGCTCCCAACAACTACCGGCATAGGTGTGACATGGACATTAAACATGATCTTTGTTTTGTCCATGTACATCTTAAGACCTATCCGTTGGGAGACACCATTGAGGTCATTGAGCATCGTGCTAAGGTCCTCCAGCGATTCTGCCATAAGGACTATATCGTCGGCAAATCGAAGGTGAGTGATGTACTCGCCATTGATGTTAATACCGTATCCTTTCCAGTCCAGTAGCTTGAAAACGTCTTCCAACGCAGCGGTGAAGAGTTTCGGGGATATAACGTCACCCTGTCTTACACCTCTCTGCAGTTGGATGGGTTTCGAACTCTGGTTCTGTACTCGGATAGCCATCGTAGCCCTACTGTACAAATACTTCAGCACTTCGATATACCGACAGTCAACTTGGCACCGCTGAAGAGACTGTAGCACCGCCCAAATTTCGACGGAATCAAAGGCTTTCTCATAGTCCACATACGCCAGGCGAGTGGCAGATTGTACTCTTTGGTCTTCTGTACAATCTGCCGTAGGGTATGTATGTGGTCTATGGTACTGAAGCTTTTTAGGAAACCGGCTTGTTCGGGAGACTGGAAGTCGTCGAATCTGCGTGCGAGACGATTTGTAATGACTCTCGAAAACAGCACGTAGACGTGGCTCAGTAGGGAAATCGGTCTGTAGTTCTTCAAGAGAGCGTTGTCGCCTTTCTTAAAGAACAAGACGACCGCACTTCTGTTCCATGCCTCCAGAGTAGTGCCACCATGGAGGACGGAATTGAAGAGCTTCTGAAGGACTTCAAGTACCGGTGTTCCACCCGCTTTCAGAAGCTCCGCTGTAATTCCATCCTCACCTGGGGCCGTGCCGTTTTTAATGTGCTGGAGAGCCATTCTAATTTCGCTCAGACCGACGTACGGGATATCATCGGAATAGAGTTGGGTAAGACTTGCTCTTGGATCGTTACTCACACTTGCGTGTGGCTCCAACGATGATGTGTACAGCTGCCCATAGAACCTCTCAATCTCACTCAAAATCTCAGGTGTCCCGGAAACAATGCTGTCACACTCAGTCTTCAGCTTTGACAGTTGGCTCCTTCTGGCAGACAGATCTCTGGAAAAGACTTTGGAGCCCTGGTTCCGCTCGATCGCTTCTTTAATACGAGCAGTATTAAAGTTGCGTAAGTCTCGCCGCATGCATTTGAAGATCTGTCTGTTCAGTTGCCTGTATGCTATCAAATCTGTTGACGATTGCAGCCTCATCTCCCATCTAACAGCCATGAGATTAAGAGTGTTATCGGAGAGTTTTTGTGTTCTTCTGCGGCCGGTCTTGCAGAACTTAGCTCCGACTGCATGGACAGTTTCCACGAGCTTGTCATTCACATCGTCCACAGCAATGCAATCTTCTAGGCACTGAAAGCGGTTACGTAACTCGAGCTGAAAGTTTTCGGGATTCTGGATTAGAGCACGAGGGGGACGGAGCGTTGACTTCATTAGACGAGACCGCCCTAATTGAACGTTTAGGTTCAGTGTTCCTCTAACCTTTCGGTAATCGCTGCCGGTTTTCACCCTTGCGATCACTGAGACATCACTGAAAATTTAGCGTCTGGTCGTCATAATGAAGTCAATCTCATTTTTTATCGAACCGTCTGGCTCTCCAGGGCCCCACTTCCTGTGGGGACGCTTCTGGAAGAAAGAGTTCGTCATAGAGTCCCTCTTTCTCCACAAAGTCAGCCAGCTGCTGGCCCCTACGGTTCCGTTGCCCTACTCCAAATTTCCCTAACTTCAGCTCACCGCCTTCTCTTGTACCTAGTTTTTCGTTGAAGTCTCCCGTCAACACCTGGTAGTGGGTTTCGGAGGAATGCATGGCTCTAGAAATATCCTCATATATTTCCTCCATCTCCTCATCGGGATGTGCCGAGGTTGGTGCGTAGATCTGTATTACCTTCAGCGAATACCGTTTGGTGATTCTGAGTATCAGGTACGCGACCCTCGTCGACACACTCCCAATCTTTACAACGTTGTTGACGAGAGACTTGTGGACGATAAATCCGACACCTCCTTGGGACAGATGGTTGCCCTCTCGGTGATAGAACAATTTGCCGGACTCGAGGATTACCGTGTCCTCCCCCTCTCTTCGGACCTCAGATAATCCAATAATATGCCGACTCAACTTGTCTACCTCTTCTTCCAGCTCCAGTATATTCTCGTCAGTCCTCAGGGTGCGTGCGTTATACGTTGCCAAGTCGAATCGTCGTAGGTGGCAACCGAACCTCCACCGGAGATCCTTAGCACCCCCGCCCCGCCGTCAGCATGGTCGCCACCGTAGCCAGGAATAGCGGGGGCGCCGGTGACTGGGGGCCATTTGTTTGCGTCGTTGCTCATGGGGGGATAGTTGCCACGCTTGGCGAGCGGGTTGGCAACCGCAGTTTTTTATTATGTTATTGTTGTTATTAGGAAGATGCTGCTGCCCATCTCCTTTCTGTGTCTCTTTGTCCCCTCTTACAACACCCACGGGAATATATAGGGTAGTGGATATTCTCAACCGCCACTACACGGCAAACAAGAGATTGAACAATATTTTTTCGTCTATTTTTTAATTTCATTTAAGTCATGTCTTTTTATGTGTAATGTGTTTACATCTGGTACTACGAATGTCAATCAGGCTATCAAGGCTGATGATTAAAGCAAATTCTCCTCAGTGATTGATTTTTACGTACAGTGTAATTAAAATCAAGATGTATACAACAGTAGAAGAGCAGAATATTGAGAGAAATAAAACAATCGGTGAAATCGAAAAGTTGACGCGGTAGCTTAGAATTAAGTTGCGGTGCTGAAGGTTCCAATTCACACAAGTATTTACGTACAAGTATGTTACTGCCTCCCGCGGTGTGTTAAATGGTTTATATTCACATTTGAACTCGGTAGGTGGCGATGTTGTCTAGATTCAGAAATCACCCGTGCGAAGCCATGTCTGATCGCTAGTTACATATAATTGTAATCTGGATGTTTATCTAATAATGATTTATTAAATTTACGCGAACACTACACATTGAATAAAACTATTATTTACGGATTTTGTCGCGTTTAATTACAACTTTAATTTATTTTTATTATCCCGACGTTTCGACGTAAAGTAATAGTTTTATTCAATGGATGTTTATCGTTGTGGAATTTATGTGTGTGTACTACTTCGACTGGTCTGGTCTAGTCTGTCGCAGAAGTGACAACCGATGGAGTGGACGTGTTATGGAGTGGAGACCGCGTCTAGGAAAACATAGTGTGGGACACCCCCTGACCAGATGGAGCGACATGCGCTAGGTGGCTGGTAAAATCTGGATGCGTGTAGCGGATCGAGCTAAGTGGCGCGCCTTGGAAGAGGCACATGTTCAGCAGTGGACTACCGCTGGATGATAATAATCACTGCCTCCACGATAGTGTGAGTGTAGCTTTTTAAAAAAAAACAACCAAATTTATCGCGCAGCAGAATATGATTGGGGAAGCAAAAATTCATTTTTGATAACTGCACCACGTAAGTTATCTAGTTAGTTTGTTCAATTATCGTGACATCGTCTGCCAAACTTCATCGTGACATTGTCTGCAGCGTTAAGCTTAATCCGGATCGAAGGACCACTTGTTTAGACTCGTGGTGGTCTTTAATCAATTAAAATGGTAAAATTGAACACATTGAAATGTGGTTTAGTTTTACCACGTTACAATGATTACAGTCAGAAAAATATAATAGCACTACAATGTACAAAAAATTAATATTCAAAAGCTAAAGACAGTCGTTGTAACTATTATGATATCACGACTTCAAACAATTCAGTTGTCATGGAGTATTCCCCAGTACCCCCATGGTCATGGCGGGTGTTACCATGGATGCTGTGAAGCACTCGAAACTTTTGGAATTCGAAATTAGATAAATAAGTTAAATTAAACGCGATAAAATCCATAAAATTAGCTTTATTCAATGTCGAGTGTCCGTGAAACACAAAAAAATAATATGGTAATGCTTATTGTCTTTTCAATTGTCAATCCCGCTCATAAGGTCATAATGTTAGATTTTTTCTTTAAAAATTTTAGAAAATAATAAAATCAAACAGTCTGTCTGATAATGTGACCCATGTAGACACCTGCAGCTGTCACTATAAGTGACATCATATGATATTATGTATATCTTTCTTCGATTAAAAATCAAAATGCAGTTTTTTTCACCCCTGAGGTCTTAGAAACGTTCGCAAAGGCTTTATTACTAGTGAGAAGGATATTATTGATTCTTCCGCGTCAATTTGACCATAAAATAAACGATCTAATTATCATTCTATATAGAATATTTATAGAATAATTGAATTATTTGAGAACAAAGACTTTTAAAACGGTCTAGGTTTTAAAAGTCTTTGTTCTCAAATAATTCAATTATTCTATAAATATTAATTCGTTGGCGTAAGATGATTTAACCTTGATAATCTTATGAATATCAACGAGACTGAGCTTCGTTAGCTTTTTCATATTGATTTTAATAATTTATTTAAACAGGTTAGTAATTATTTTCACTGAGTACTTAATGTTAGTTTATTTATTTTCCCTGTTAGCTTATTTGAGTTCGCTTCTAAGCATAGACTTTATCAAGAACACATTTCTACAACATGCTGGGAATCGTTTTCTGCCTATGAAACTATTTAAGTAGGTATCAGCCTACATATTTCTGCTGCCGGAATATAACACCGACTTGCACTCCTACATGTACTCCTACTTTGTGCTCGTGTGACACCCTTGTTATTATAATACGTAGCCAAAAATATACGGGTGGACACTAAAATTAGGTCACTCCTATTTTTATGATTTATTTATTTATTACGGTCTATTAAAAATTAAAATAAATATTATGTTTTTGAACGTTCATTTGTAGTTTTAGAACGTTCTTAGTAGAGGAGTATATTGATAAAATTATCAAGTGTAAAGGTGTGAAATGTCATCAATCAGTTTTTTTTAATTACCTACCCTTTTATTATTTTATTTTTAATGTCCTATCGCTAGGACGCTATTTAAAACTATCAATAAAGTCCTATTACTGATTTAAGTTCTTTGCTTTCCACTTCCTTTTCACTGATAAATATGTATCTACGCGAAGCAGAAGTTTTTCGAATCGTAACGTTGTTACAAACCGGAATGCGCCATCGAAATGTCGCTAGAGAATGTGAATTAATTTGATCAATGGTTCAATATGTCTACAAAAGGTATCTTAAAACCGGTACCTACATCAGAAGACCTGGAACAGGTCGAAAATGAAAGATATCTGAAGGGTTCTGAAGTATAATTGAAGCACCTGCTCAGATGTCCGTGGTGTCGCTGTATGTGATAGCTAAATAAGAAGATGCCTTAAAGAACGTGGTTTAAAACAAAAAAGTATATTGTAGACCGGGAGAATGATATGCACAATGTGCTATATATGAAAAGGTTAGGTTTGGAGGTGATTCAGTTTTTTTTCTATGGAGGTATAAGCTTAGAAGCCCGTACAGAGCTGGTTATCGTAGATAAACGAACTGTGACTGCGGATTCGTACATCACTGATGTTCTTGAAGAGCACGTAGTGCCATACTCAGGTTTTATCGGTTAAGAATTTAAATTAATGCACGATATTGTGAGCCCCCTGAGAACTGCGATGTGGGTAAGAGATTACTTGCGGGAAGTGGAGATACAGGTTCTGGACTGGCCAGCATGATGTCCAGACGTTTATGGGACAAGCTAAAACAAAAGGATGGTACGTGTTAACACAGCCAGAGAAGGCAACCTCTTATTAAAGTAAGATTGACATCAGTGAAACCATTTTTTAATCAGTGTGAAATCGTTGTAAATTTTTATTAATATTTGATTTTTCTTGTATATTGCTTAGAAATATAAAGTTGGTTAATTTAAAAATGCATTATTTAATTTAAGAATTCACACACAATCATTAAAAAAATATTAACAAAGTTTTTATTTTGTAACAGTCATGATAACCGGTTTGGTAGGTGGCCTAATTTTATTTTGCACTACTTTATAAGTCTTCCTTCTTTTGAGCTCCACTATAGTTGAAATATGATGCAAAAATAACAAAATTTATCTATAATTCTAAAACAATTAATTTTCGCAGTACCCAATTCGGGTAACTATCGCTATATTTACTAATTTTATAAAGTCGTACATTTTATGAATAAATCTGCAGTACTTACTGTAACTTAAATTGAAGCTTACTAGTTGCTTGAGGATAATACAGACGTAAATTCTTCAAACCGCGGCTGATCAGTCGATCAACCACTTTGAGTCCAAAAGAGTCTTCACATACAACCAAATAGAAGGACTCAGGGGATATGGGGCTGCAGCTGAAATATATAAAAAATATTATTAGTCTAGCTTAGTATTTAAATAGAAGATTGATTAGATGAGTGTCGACTTTAGACTAAAAATGAGGATAGCGTAAGGAAAAGTAGATTTTTTTTATTTCTAATAATACAAAATATTAAGTTAAATTAGAAAAACAGATAAAAGCTATTTGACGTTGTTCCTATATGTACAGAATTGATTTTAAAACAAAACATAAACATAAACACTCACGCCTGTCACTCAGAGGGGTAGGCAGAGACTACAGACTTCCATTTGGCACGATCCTGACACACCTCTCTCGCCTCCTTCACATCCATACACCTACGCATACATGCTCGTCGGTTAAGGGTACTCCTAATTTGGCCCGTTTTCAATAAATCGCCAATTTGGTCGATAAATTTTCGCCTAGGACGTCCCTTCCCGACTCTGCCATTCACTTCTGCAACATAAATTTTCTTTGTCACTCTTTCCTCATTCATTCTTTCCACATGACCAAACCACCGAAGTATTCCTTTCTTAATCCTGGTCACAACATCATCTTGCAAACCACACTCTTCTCTTATTACGCAATTTCTTATCCTGTCATTCAGATTCAGTCCTAACATACTCCTTAACGACCGCATTTTTTCTGCGTTGATTCTACTCTCGTGCTTCTTCTGCCACACCCAACTTTCACTACCATACGTTAAAGTAGGGAAAACACAGCATTGTGAATTGCCATACGTGCCTTTTTTGACACATTTTGACTTTTCACAATAGAGTGCAGGGCTCCATTTACTCTATTTCCCGCATTCACTCGTCGTTCTATATCCTTATCATATCTCCCATCCCTGCTAAGTACGCAGCCCAAATATACAAACTCATCTACTTGCTTGATCAACTCCCCTTCTATTCTTATTTCACAAATCGTTTTACTTTCTTCTCTTTCAAAAACCATAACCTTCGTCTTAATTGCGTTCACTTTCATACCCCTTTCATTTTAAAACAACTAGTTACATATTTGGGCCGTGTGGTAGCGGCATATCAGTATAAAGAAGACACTGCGGTTACTAACAAGTCTAACAAAAATATCCCCTATGGAAGCTATCTATGCGAGATACCTAAGTTCAGCAATAGACTTAGGCTGCAACGGTAACGTTGATAGAATTTAATTCTAAAATCTAATTTTGTAAGAGGTTATAATAGAAAACACGGGAAGGATCTCGTAGCTTTCGTCAACTGGCGGTATACTGTATACCGTACTCGTATTACTTATTCTTTTTCTTCTCCTTCTACAGCCCTCAAAAGTTTGCTGCTTACATGGGCTTCTTCCGTTGAAATTAACTTTAATCACCTCGTTTGGCAGGTGATTGGCGATCAAATTATCAGACGTACTCCCACTTGGACGTTGCTATCCATGTCCGTACTTGGTATTTACGATTGCCGTAAACGAGATTGTTTTACCGTCATCCATCTTAAGTCATGATGTTTTTTGAGGTTTGATATAGTCGCCGTTCAGGCATCTATTTCTACTAGGTAGGATTCTTTTGCTGCCTTGGAGTCCATCTGGACAGGTGGACAGGAAAAGCAGTGTTTGCATAACTTTGGTTTAATAGTATAGAGAGCCAGTATAATAACAGATTGTAAGGCAATCCATCTCAATCCTTAAAGATTACAACGCATATGTAGCCTTTTTTGTTTGAAGTTGGCTGCAGTTATCCGTGTACTGTAGTGAGAGCTTAGTATCAAGTGGACTGTCAGTTCAATTATCAAGTCAATTTTATTTAAAAAAAAACAACTAGAATTAGCTTACGCCAACACCACACTAAACTAGAACTATATAACTAGAACTAAAAATTAAATAGGTAATCAATAGTACTGTACAAATATTCGCTTCAGTTCGATTTCAATCTTAGACCTACGCGGTTGTTATATATCTTTAACAAACCTGAAATCCCTTGGAATGATTCTATTTAAGCGAAGCAGTACGCGCCCGTGGTTACGTCTATCTTCTAAGAGCTTAAAGGCTAGAGTAACATCAGATGGATCGTATATAATACGAGTCAACGGTCTCACATATCCACGTTCAATGCCTTCACTGACGAGCTGGTGCAGAACCTTAAATTTCATACAATAATATATTGCTTAAATAACAAGAAAATAATTCTTAAATAACCTTTTTTTTGAGCAATTATTTCTCCCTCATAGTATTGAACAATGCTTGAAAGTTTTGGTTAATACATCGGCCGTGCCTATATTTCACGGGAAAACGTCATCGGGTAACTGAACAAACGTGTGTCTGTAGTCAAAACATTGTTGGACAGAGTTTTGGATTAGGGGCGACTAAATCTAGTCCAATTCAATCCCCAGAAGACACAAGTTTGCGAGTTTACTGCAAAATTTCTCAGTATCTCTTCAGTTTAAGGGAAGTCCCCTTGTTGCCGCCTCAGCCAGTATTAAAATTCTCGACGTCGTCATATCGAATAACGTGCAGTTTCGTGGTCACTTGGAAGAGGAGGCCAAACTGACATATAAATGCTTGGCGTGCTCAATAGCGTAGGACAGTATTCAGCCTCACATGGAATAATGCTCCCATCTCTGGGCCGCGGCTCCCCATTGCCAGCTGCTTCTATGTGACCGCATCCAGCGCAGAGCGACTGAGTACTTTCAGATCGACTTGAATAATTGGCGCCGCGAAGAGATGTTGTATTTCATTGCGTATTCTATCGTAATTATCACGAAGAGTGCTCAAAAGAATTGTTCGGATTAATTGCAGCCGCTAAATTCCATCACCGCACATCGCGACAGAACTCGAGGTGCTATCCTTACCACCTGGATGATTGGCGGTCCACTACTTTGTGATTTACAGGAAGTTTTCTTCCTCGCACAATTTTTTGTAGAATCGACTACCACCAGCGACTTTTTCCAACCGATACAACTTAGGGACCTGCAAGGACTATATTATGGCTGCAGCACGAAAAAGTTGGCTCGCCGCGGTGGACCACACTCTCATAGAATACCAGCTTGAAACAGTAAAATTAAGATGTGGTGAGTGTAGAGAACCTGTAACGTACTCCACACTCACTAGCTTAATTTTACTATTACTACTAATACTACTAATTTTACTATAGTCGGCTAGTTTGAAAATGAGGGGTTCGTTCCTAGGCCTCAGGGGTGATAAACCATGTGCACTTTGATCGAGAATTGATGTAGATATCTATTGGCCGCAGCACCCCTTTACTTTCAGGTGGACTGTGTACTCGCTTGTCAGACGTATTCTATAAAAAAGAAACGTAGTAAATTAGTACTAAAAAATAACAAGCAACAATTTCATTGGTGCTGACTGGGATCAAACCCGTGTTTTTTATAGCACCTGACGTCTATGGGCCGCGGCACCCACTTACCTTACTTATTTATCCTCAATTAAGAATCAAAATGCAAATGCGTTATTACCCCAGAGGACTAAGATGGAATGCCTCGATTCCAGTAAAAAGGGCTCCGGTTCTCAATAAGAGTTGGTCGTATAATGCGAAACTAATTGCGACGTATATTTCTTGAGCTACCACGACTCTCCAATAACCCTCTCAGAAATGACAGGAGGTCGGTACAGATACACATTACAGTTAGATGTATAAAGGCTGTTACTTTAATTATTTTTTTGATACACTTTGAAAAAGAAGTAAAAGCTGTACTGTATACATCTTTATTATTATTTTTCACATTTTACGTTCTCATTCTTATTTCTTATTTTATAATTGTTTCATATGAGTTACAATTTAAATATTTTTTAACTAAAACCTTATTAACAGGGGTCAAAAATAAATGCATTTCGAGATAGGGGACTTTTCTTTACTGAAATTTAGGAAACGTACTTATACATTTTATTACAAGATGTAGCACTAACGATATAAGTAAGCATAATATATCAACACGAAGTATTCAAGAAGATGGATTAGTAATGGCTGACTGCAAATCTGGGCGAATTTGTACAGTGACGTGAGTATACATTATTAAAATATAAATACAGTCTAGTAAAATCAATCATGAAAAAGTTTAAACGTGAATTAAAACTATGGTAAAAATTCTAGGTTTTATCGTTTCCTTAACATACCTTCATATCAGTCGTGTTATTGTGGATGAAAATAGATGAGAAATCCACAGAAATGTAGGTCTTCTGGTTCTTTAAATAATTCAGTCCAAATGAAAATCTTTCCTTTGTTAGAGCTAGAGCTGTGTCTATCGTTATTCCAGAGGGAGCACAACAGTTAAGCGCTATCTGTAAAGATATTACCAAATAAATAAGACAAACATTCATATTTGAAATAATCACATCTGCCAGTCACCTCCAATTAGTAATGACATTCAAGTTGATAAATTGAATAAAATCGATACACATAACATTGTTGGCTTTACAAAAATAATTTTCTCTATTATTATTTTAGGTTTAGAATATTCCATATATTCATTCCACCATAATATGTTACGTAAACCATATTAAATAAATAAACATGTATCCGATATATGTCAGAATTTCCCTTACAGCAGCAGTGGTGGCGGATTTTCAGAATACACAATCTCGCGACGATTGCCGTATAACGAAATATTACAAATATTCAAATATAACGAAATAATACAAAAATCCATCTTTAAATTCCTTTTAAACAATTGTGTACAATCTTAAATATTAAAAAACAATAATATCGACAGTTGTGGGAATGGGTGTTCCACAGGGGAAAATATTAAACCCTTTTTCTTTCTAATTTATATTAATGATTACGATTACTATTTATTATATTTAAATATAATTTTTCGTGGTAGAGCCATGCTGCAGTTATATTAGTAGTATAGTTTTAGCACGAATAGGTCGGCTCGACCGGGGAAGGACCACACTCTCACAGAATACCAGCGTAAAGTAGTAGCTTAATGCTGCTGTGTTCCATATGGTGAGTGTAGAGAACCGGAGACCCTTTTTACTGGAAAAGAAGCATTCCATCTTGGTCCTCACGGGTGACTACGCATCTGCATTTTGATTCGTAATCGAGGATAGATGTAGATGTCTATGGGCCACAGAAATCACTTACCATCCCACATGGTGAACACAACAGGTGGACTGTGTGCTTGTTTGTCACCCTATCCTATATAAAAAAAAATTACTTCTTTACGTACATTTTTAAAATCACCAACAGCGTTACTTATCACGATATCACAACCCTTTCCATTAGTGCCCTTTACTACCATTTTTAAAAATGACGAGTTTAGAGATGATCCGATGTCGTTTTCTGCAACAAATTTGAATCAATTAATTATTTACTTGTGATTTTAAAAGTCGTAAGTTCTTATCTGATATCGAATACGTTTATAGGTTTATTAATACTATTTTCTTCTTCATACTTACTTCTACTTAACTTACCGTTCAAACTTGGAAATAATTTCAATAGCAACCGCTTTTTATCGTTGCTGCTGACCGCTGTGAACACTCGACAACCGTGGGCTATTGCTATAGATATAGCCGCTTGACCCATAGCACCTGCACCTCCGAATATGAAGACGTTCATACCAGATGTCAGCTTAGCTTTTATATTCTGAAAATGATTATTGGTTAGCTCGCGCTTCATTAGCCCGTTTTTAGCCTTTTCCTACGTAGGAAGAACTTGCCGTAACAGCCTTTGACGTCTGAGGATATAGGTTGGGTATAAGTTATATAGCTGTAATGTCATCAATCGAAAGCCATAATATATTTCTGACATTTCGAATAGGTATCTAAAACTTCATAGTTTAATCGGAACAAATGCGTATGTATACGCGATGAATTTAAGATAAGCTATATAAAATTTCTTCAAAATATATTTTATCTATAAGGATTGTTATTTTTTATTTAGATTTCTGCCTTACTCGAAGGCTGGCTATTAAGGAAATCAAAGAGAATAATCATTTCTTATATTTACGCATTTCCTCATTTCTGAAATGAGGATATCCGCAGTAAAACCAGAGTGACCGACATATACGGATTAGTAAGCTGGAGTGGCAATGGGCCGGCCATATAGCTCGAAGAACCGATAACCGATGGGGAAGAAAGGTTCTCTCTCGAGTGGCAGCCTCGTACCGGTAGGCGTAGTGTAGGACGACCCCCCACTAGATGGAGTGACGACCTGGAGATATGCAGGAGGTCGATGGATGCAGGTGGCTCAGGACCGTGCTTTGTGGCATTACTTGGGGGAGGCCTGTGTTCAGCAGTGGACTTGTGAAAGGCTGTAATGATGATGATGATATTTACGCAAACACTACACATTGAATAAAACAATTAATACGGATTTTATCGCGTTTAATTAACTTATTGTTAATTCCCGACGTTTCGGGTGCTGTATAGCACCTATGATCATGAAAGGGACCGAGAAGTTTGACGTCTTAATTTCATACTTTGTTCGACTACCTTCAGTTTTCGAATATTAATGTTTGGTCCAATCTACGCAAAACCTGCTTAAATTATTTTCAAGATTTGCAGTGGTATGCTTAGGTTTGGATTGATTTTTTTATTATAAATTCCAAAGCAGATGGCAGCACCCCTCCATCTTCTCATTGAAATTAGGATATTTTTTTTAATTTCAATAGCCTCGTGTATCATCCTTGGTAGGAATTGGTTTTCCTTTGCGAGGATTGGTCGTTTGTCGAATCTGACGTGAGTAATATTGCATTAAGTAATATTGCATATTTTTTAGGCATGTTGTTTTCTTCTAGCTTCCTGATTACAATTGGGATGCAGTCATCAATAGTAATATAAATAGTGACTGAATATCAAAACTGACCATAGAATCAAATAATATTAAGCTTTCCTAGATGTTTTAGCCATCCTAAATACTGATAGCACCATTGGTCACACTGTTTATAGGAATAAAAACTAAGCTAAAATTTTGGTTTTTTTTTTTTTTTTTTTTTTATTGCAGTTGGTTTTTCTTTTATAAGTTGATTAAACTCGTTAAAATCCGTATAAATAGTTTTATTTAAAAAACAAAGAGAATTTGTGTTTGCTAAATAAATTGTTTCCCCGGTCAAGCCAACTCAATTGTACTGCAGCCATTATAAGCTGAAGTTTTGGCTCTCACTTTTAAATAAATTTACATCATTACTAGGCATTATTACTAAGCATATTGTTTAGCAGTGTACAACTGTCAGTCCAGTTCCAGGCAAAAGATCCGATCTACAGACAGTGATGCATTTGAACCTACTTTTCGCGAAGAAAAACTTGTAGCTATATGCTAGTGTCTAGGAGCTGTAGTAGTCTCGTGGTGTGACAGTCTTGGGTGGGAAGTCTAATATATTTTAACTTAAATGTTATAAAAAATATTTATTTTACTCACAAGACAGTAGAACGCAAGACAATAAGCTAATGGTATAGTTGCAGCGTCCTCAAGAGACCAATCCTTCGGCACGTTCCACAATAGTTCTGGTTGCGAGAGTACGCTTGAACTTAGCGCTCCTTCTTTGACCACTCCCATTACATTTTGACCGCTGTATTAGAAACGAGTAATTGATTAATTCACATTAAATCATCAGCTTGAAGCTTAAGGGGGGGGGGAGGCGTAAAAAATGATTGAATCTTCTCTACAATGGAAGGCTTGTATGTAGGACTAGATTTTACAAGCAGATGATTTAAAATGTTCAATATGCTATATCGACAAACTATTGAAGACCACGCTGCGATATTGACATTTTCCAAATTTACTTCGTAAGACGTCCAAGAGACGAAAAGTGTGAGTCGGTAGTATTATATAAAAATACCCTCATTACATTCTTATTTATATTCTCTATAACTAATTTATATTCGGTCATTAAAGTTACCTCTCCGTTGTTCCACTAAAATCCATGCCGTAGCTAACTGCACTTCCATATCTCACAGGGATAGTCCCAGTGGCTTTCCTCATGTCACGGTCATTAATTCCTGCATAGTGGACCTAAATGAAAATATATAATTAAATGAATGCTAAATTGACATGTGGTTTAAATCGATACCACGAAGGACTGTATACCTACTGGATATTTGCTTACTTTAATAATAATGTTACGAGCTTGAGGTTCGTGACAATAAAAATTGGCGATAAAATTACCTAAATTAACACTTTAATTTACTTTACACTAATTAAAACTAAAACACTAATAATTAAACACACTAATTCACTTAATTCTGTTCCGAAGCTTCGCTTGTGTCGCCGAGTTCAAGTCTACTTCGATCGCATCTTGCAGCGCCTACTTATATAAATTAGCAAAATATCCAGAATGTTCAAGTAAACACGCGCAAGGTACCGAGAGTTCGAGTTTTAAACTTAAAGAAGTTTAGTTCTTCGGTTCGAGACTAGATGGCGCTAGTGCGCCGATTTTAGCGCGTAACAATAATAACGTCTTCGAGACCGAATTTCGGTCACGGCGGTCAGCCTCAACCATAGAATACTATAATACATACATAATAGAACGGCGGAGTGGGTGGAGCCCATGTAGCAACTGAAATGTCACTAACACGTCAATTCACACGTATAAATGTCAACACAAGATGTATTTTGACGTAACAATCGTTTCCAAATGTCGCTTACAAATTATTTAGAAAATACCAAATTGCACACTATTTACATATAAATATGTATTAAAATTTAAACGATTTTTAATGTTGATTTTGAACAAAAGTCTAAAATGTGTAAATTTACTTAGTTTGTCAAAAAAGCGCATCGGGTTTGTAGTAGTGATAATATGACGTAATTGCTTGTATGTGTGCTCCCGGCGACGCCGAATCTCGTACAAAATAAGTTTGACAGTCATTCTTTTGTGTATTATAAGTATTCTATGGCCTCAACAGAAACTAGTCATCGGCTCAGGACAGGATTATAGTGCCCAAATGTATGCGCACGTACAGGTGCACTCTCTATTCACTTAGCCAATGTCCAATGTCCAATGGCCGTCCCATTGGACATTGGACATTGGCTAAGTCCAATCGACTGAGCATAGGCTGCATTATTGCCGCGGTATTTTTATTCCTTTGTAAATTTCGTAAAACAAACCACGATCGTCAATTTCTCTACCTGTACGTTAATTCCTGACTCCTTCACATCTTCTATTTCCCAATGCAATGTGTTCAAATCACCAACGCCATCGCTTCTTAATACTATTCTAGAACTTTTGTTTATAGGTTCTTGATTAAGTTCCAAACTCTGTAAATGTAGCATACGAATCAACAAAAATTATTAGTATAAGTATATAGAATGTATTATATGTAATTATCGTATGTATTATTTTTATTTACTGTATTATATTATTTTTAATTATAGTATTATTTAATATAATTTACGTAACATTTTGGATATTATTTACTCATTATTAGAAGTAAAATACTCACTAAGTTTGCCTTTTTAATAAGTTCCCCTTTAAGATTAAATTAGATTCAAGATTTACTGGAAGATATTTCAGCAAATTATGGAATAAATAGAACATTTGTACGAACTTACTATAAGACAGTTACTGTATCTTGTTCTGTGCACATAAATAAATAAATAAATAATTTATATTTGGAAAATCAACAAGTTAAATTTTATGTGAATATTGCCTTTGTGCTAACTTTTAATAAGAAAATAAATATTTGAATTTTATAATTTAAAACAAATATAGGGTGGCAAAATCATCGCGCCAATTCTTCTGGAGGGTATCGAGAGATATGTAAACCATGTAGGGCGGGTGTAAAAATATCCACTACCCCATAACGTCCCGTGGGTGTCGTAAGAGGCGAAAAAGGGAAACAAACTAGAACATGGGCAGTAGCATCTTCCTGATAACAATTCAAAATCAAAAATTAAAAAAAAACTTCGATTGCCAACCCGCTTGCCAAGCGTGGCAACTATGGCAGAATCCTCCTTATGAGGTAATCTATCGGAGTGGCCTTTGATTAGTGTCATAAGTGCCGCTATGGAAAGGTCACAATAATCTTTTTATTTTCGATAAATAGCATATCTATCTCATTTAGCCAGACGTAAAACACCCTGACCGACTGTAACCGCTATCCGTGAAGTCGGATTACCGATCGGTGTGCCGTTTATGGCAAAACCTCCCTACAACTGGTGAAACTTCTCTCCAGTAGACTTTTATGGGTTCATGATTGAGAAAAAAACCAGGGAGGTAATTTATTCTAAGGAGTCTTTACCAAAAATCAGTTTAATAAAGAAGGTTGCATTTTTTAAACTCACCTTCAAACTTTTCAAAGTTATAGGCTCTCCAAGTGTAAGTGGTAAATTATGATGTTGAACATTCTCCAATAAAATTCCTCCGCATCTAAAAAAATGATTGATAAATAAGTTCTACTAGGCAGACATTTACAAACAATATTTATGAGTAAACATTAAAACATTTCAATTTGTCAAAAAGTCGTTTTGTTACGAAAACTTTTCTCTAATTAGACGTACTGCTTATCAGACTGATGTAGTTAGACGTTTTGCTACATAAACTTTCTGCTAGGGAGGGAAATCAATCCAAAAAATGTTAAGTAGGCATCTATTTATATCTGCAGAATTTACAATAATATCTTTTTTAACAAGTTTATTTCCTTTCGGTTTCGGTTGTTACCACTCTCTTATCCTTTTTTGGCTTAAAGCATTAGTAAAGCTATCGTTTAGATCTTTTAGGTCGCAGTGATACTGGTCTGTTTCCCTAGACCTGCATAGCTGCTCGTACATTATAAAAAATATTGTTTATATTCCAGTTTAAAATGTGAGGGAATCAGTATAACTATACACCACTAGATCACACATTAATTGTCACGGGTAACTATGCATCTGCACGTTTCCTTGTTTGAAGTTGACTGTAGATATCCATGAGCTGCAGTTACCACTTACCCTAAGATGGTTGTTAGTAATCATTTGTAATTCTTATGTTGTCAACAATGTGTAAATATAACAGAACGCGAGTAACCCGGGTTCGATCGCCGCCTTCATCAATGAAATTGTTAATTGCAATTTTAAGTGCTGATTTACCACGTGCTCGGCGGTGAAGGAAAATGTGAGGAAACCTGCATGTCTGAGGAATAAGAAAAAAAATATTTCGAAGACATTTGAAGTTCGCCAACGCATTGCGGCAGCGCGGCAGACACTTCCTTGCCCTAAAACCCTCTCAGAAATGAGGGGAGGCCTGTGTCCCAGCAGTGGGACGTATATAGGCTGAAACTTTACTTTTTTACTTTACGACAATGTTGTTATCTAGTGCGTTATTATAAATAAATATTATAATGTTTAGCTTCTAAAAGTCAAGAGAAGTTTTAAAAAGGTTTTATTACCGTGTAAAATCGTGAACTTCACTTAAGTTAGCTCTAATAACTTTAGTATCCCCTAAATTAATTATTTGGCTCTTCACGTGTTCTTTCACATCGATGCACAGTCTTCTAATGAAAACTGGTTGGCTTACGCCACCGTGATTTTGCCTGAGAGCATTAAGCTGCAGCATTCCATCAATGAGAGTGACCCAGTTGTCTTGCCACACCAACTGAGCTTCAGTTAGTGACAAGTTCGCCTTATATATACTACGAAAATCACCACTGTAAAAGAAAGAATAATTACTTTTTTCTTCATCATCAATTATTTGCTTGTCACACTCAAAAAGCTGATAGACAGTCGCAGTACCAGACGTCTCGCGTCTTCGACGCTTGAATGAGATGGTTATAGCGCCATCTATCGGGATTTATAAGATTTTTTCTGAAACAGACCGTCTGAGTACCTTCTCTTCCTTCTTTCTTTTCCCAACCAGCAATACATCCCTTACAATAGTACCCGAACGGAACAAGTATTTGTATAGCTTACAAGCAATTGATTCAGGTCTGGATGTTTGTTTTTGTGCTATTTATGTATGTAAACCGCCTCCGCAATACAGGAAAAAACACATTGTAGGAGTAACATCTTAAAAATTAAGAAATATAGCTGTATTAAAAACGGGATGACTCGACCAAAGAAGAAACATGCTCTCACAATCTATTAGCGTTACATATCAGCATAATACTACTGTATTTCGCATGCTGAGTGATAAGAACCGAAGACCATTTTTTACTGGTAAGGCGACATTCTATTTTAGTTCTAAGAGATGACGACGCATTTATAGCCTTCTTTTTTGAAGTTTTCTGTAAGTGATCACAGACTGTACAAACCACTTATCATCACGTGGAGTTGAAGTTAGTTTGTCTCTGTGTAAACGGAAATCCTGCAGATTATAAGGAAAGCCTGCTTTCATTAAATGCCTGCGTTTCTTACTAGGTCATCACTCCATCTAGTTGGCAGCCACCGGTAGGAGGCTGCCACTCGAGAACCTTTCTTTCTGTCCTGAATGAACAGACTGAATTGCGTGTTCATTATTTTGTAAAAATGTAAATTTTGCAATTATATGGAAAGCTACCGTACTTGTTAGTTGTACAATGATGTAAATGGAATCTGGAAATTAAATCTTATAATTCTCGCGTAACTGTATAAAATTCTGAAAGAAACTTTTACAGAATTCCGAGAAATTAGCTACTTAAATTACTACATTATTCGATTGTGCTACGTACCTGTATGAATATTCTTTTTCTTGAAGCAAGGCGTATATATCTTCTGAATCCAGATCTAGCGATTTCTGTTCTTCTATTGCTTCATTGTAAACTCCTTTAAAGTCAGTAGTCTCTTGATAAATATACCCTGCAGCCACTTTAGTAACGTCATCTGATATCTGTACAAAATTTATATAATAGTTTCGTTTCTGAATTTATGCATATTAATTCCTTACTAGAGGCGTATAGATTTACACGCAATTACAAAATCTGAATAATAATTTTAGAGAAAACTCTTGTCTCGTAATACTTTAAGGCGACACCGCGAAAAAATGCACCTCCTTTCATCGAATAGTATAGGACTATGACACCACTAACGAAAGTGGAATTTTGATATAGGTAAATTCATGTCTTTATCTTGAATTTAATTGTTCCAAAAACACGATTGTATAATTTTGACTCGATCATAATTATTTGCGAAAACACCTCTAAAAATCACTATAGTTGAAATTACAACGAAATTAATTAATCTATATGGTTGGAAACCACTCAAATATATTCATAATTTACTTGCTCATTATTTTGATTACTTAAATCAATAATTTTTAAAAAAAATATTTTAAGATTCTGACAATTTCTAAGCGCTTTTAATCGTCGCGGGCGCTACGCAATTTTATTAGTATTCACTCGGATCAGTACGACGATAGTCTGGAGCCACTTTTTCGATGTGTCGTCTTAAGTATTGCACAACCGTTAGCGGCAGGGACATCTCCCACCGAGTAAGGTTCAGTCCGCGGAGCGGTCATCGCTACGCAAAGTAGTAGGGAGCTTCTATATATATATACATTCTATATATATAAACGCATACATATTGATCTTCGGTCCATATGATATAAATAAGACGCGTTGACATAACTATGCATGGCACACAAAACTGGATGCATGTACATAGCGAGAGGTGACACTTATAACATTTTCAAGAACGACTAACCTCAAACTGCCCACTCCCCCTGTGCAGAGACACTGTGAGGCGCACTTGCCGTTGCTCGTGTAAGATAGGTTGGGAGAATAGTTGTACATCTCGGAATTGCACTGATTGCTTCATTGGCACTTGATGCACCATCGCCATCGTATCCCAAATGGCTACCAGAGCAGCCGCGAATGGGAATACTGTTTTTCCTGCAAGAATGTTTTTTGTATCATAATTATATATGTTTAGTAATAGCTAAGTTTAAGGAAAAAAACTTGTTTTACAGTCATTTATTGGAAACCTTTTATTACTATTAAGTGACAGTAGCTCAATGTTATGGCTTGAATTGAAACGCAGATAGCCGTGGGTTCGAATCCAACATTCGACCACAATGGTGCATCACTCCCAACACAAGCATTTTTAAGCTTAGTTATAGTGGTTAACGGAAGTATTAGTTATAATTGATAGAATCAGGCGTTACGTTAGATCCATTAAAATGAAGATATTAGTAGTTACTTTGCAACTATCCACACAATTAAATGATGTTTCAATGAAGATGCCTCGTGTAGAGGCGAAACACGTGTCGTATTATCGTCGATGGTGTGTCTTTCCTAGAATAGTGGTGTTGGAAGTAGTGGTGTTAGGAGTAGTGGTACTGGGATTAGCGGTGATTGGATTAGTGCACGCAATTGATGGATGGTTGCAAAGTAACTATTAATATCTTTAGTATTAAAAATATTAATATAGTCACTAGTTTTCTCGTAAAAAATCTAAAATTTCCCACAGTCCCACGGATTCTCATACTTCACCACGCATTGCTTACCTTTAATAACGCTTCCTTCGAAATATTTGAACTCATCGTCATGAAGAGTGATCAAGAATTTAGCAGATGCTGCCAGCTTCCTAGCGCCCGTGTCATACAGAGGCAAGTCCCTGTAAAGATGCTCAATTACAGATTATTGGAACAATAATGTCCTTCATAACAAATTTCGCTAACGGCGGTTAGCTTCAATGGAGACCAGCTATCTGCGTTCGACAGGATTATAACGCCCGTGTGATGTGCAAGGCCATGTGCACTCGCTGTTACCTCACTTTGATAGTTTGATGGGACGGTAATTCAAAGCGACCAGAGAGAGAGAGAGAGAGAGAGAGAGAGAGAGAGAGAGAGATCAGGTTTGGGAACAACAGCTTTACGTGCTTTTACCTAAAAATTTACTGAACTAAACAAAATTTATTGAAATAAAGGTTAAGCAAGTAACTAACAAGCAAGCGAGCTCGTTTCGCAAGTAAGTTTTACGTGGTAGAGCCATGCTGCAGCTATATTAGTAGTTTAGTTGTAGCTTGAATGGATGGGCTTGACCGGGGAAGGACTACGGTCTCACAGAAAACCAGTGCAAAATAGCAACTCAAAGCTGCTGCGTTTCGTATGGTGAGTGTAGAGAACCGGAGACCAATTTTACTGGAAACGAGTAAATCTTAATAATAAAAAATCTTAGTCCTCACGGGTGTCAACGCATCTGGATTTTGATTCATAATCGAGGATAGATTTAAATGTTTAGGAACCACAGTAATTACTTATCATCAGGTGGACTGTGTGCTCGTTTATCACCCTTATTCCATAAAAAAACTAAAGTTGACTGTATAAAAATTTAAAGTGCTTAGGTAGGCTATGTAGAGCGCAGTGCTTGGATTTTTTCTGAATTTCAGGATCCAGAACATATAAATAATATCCACATTAAAACCACAGTAATTGATATAGACAACGAATCAAAATTGAAGCGGCAATTGTACTGTTATGTGAGGTGTACGGAGAAACTAGACGAAAGTGACTATCTAATAAACCATGCAAGAATTCAATAAATTAATTTCATACGCCCATTCTTTGGGAAGGGTGTGAGGCTGTGTTCAGCCGTGGACGTATATAATACGTAGCAAGATAAAGTGATATTTTACGCGAGTATTCTGTGCGAGCTTTGACGTCGGTTCATTCGGTTCATAAGTGGCACTTGTGATCCTATAAATATCCTACGAAGTTGACTGCATGTGAGAATCATGAATATTTGGAAGCTTTTAATTACACCAGGTATGGGCTAATTTTGAATACTTAAGTCTATATTTTTTTATAAAACGACCGTACAGTCCACATGGTGGTAAGTTGCTTCTGCAGCCCATAAACACCTGCAACTAACTACAAATAAATAAGATTACAAATGAGATCTCTAAGAATCAAGACAGAATGCCGTTCAGCCTTTGATTATACTAGATATGAACCCTTCGGAGCTTTATAGCAGTTGCGGACGCTGCTGTTTGACTGCAGAAATAGGTAAGAGGATGTTTTGTTTGTGCATTTACAGCACAATTATATGACCAGCAATAATAATAATATAAATAATATTATTATTTAATGGCGCACTGGCTTAGCATTGAGCGCTGTGGGCCGCAGGTTCGAATACCGCACGGAACAAGTATTTGTATGGCCTACGAAATGAAATGAAATGAAAGTTTATTGTTTCAACATTTTCTTAAAATTAGAACGAGTTTGAGGACTTCTTTTAAGTATAAAGAAAATTGTGGTAGAAGGCCCTCGCCCTCCCTTAACTAAGTACATTTAACATAAGAAAAACATTTTTCGGTGTGTGTGTGTGTGTGTGTGTGTGTGTGTGTGTGTGTGTGTGTGTGTGTGTGTGTGTGTGTGTGTGTGTGTGTGTGTGTGTGTGTATGTGTGTGTGTGTGTGTGTGTGTGTGTGTGTGTGTGTGTGTGAGTGTGTGTGTGTGTGTGTGTGTGTGTGTGTGTGTGTGTGTGCGTGTTAGTACGTGTTTATGTATGAGAAAAAGACAGTGAGTGATTGCGTTTATAGGATAAATTCTAATAAAGCTTCAGTTCGATCGTAATTAAGTGTCTTAAGCCACTGCATTATTTTTTTCTTACAATCGTATGTCTTTAACGGATATATTTGCAATATTTTACTAATTTAATTATATAATTGTTCTGATTGTTTTTCATATTGAATTTTCCCAAAGTTGGTTTTCGTACTGCATATAGGAACTACGCTATAATTTCTTCTTTTACTACCGTAAGTAGGATTAAAAGACAAAGACTTACGTTTTTTTAACAAAGTGAGTAATGTGTACAACTGCCTCACCGAAATCAGCCCACAAGACGAATACAAAATGCTAGTGGAGAACCTACATGGCTTAAAATGTATAACTTTCAATAAACATCTTTGAGCTCTCTCAACTTCAGTAAATTTACTTTTATAAGTACCCCCCCCCCCCAAATAGATATACAATATATTATAATAGATTGAGCAAGCGCTACATAAATTTGATTTAAAAGATCTGGACAAGCAACATATCTTAAAGTTTTAAATATCCAAGTGAGTTTTCGAATTCTACTAGACACTAATTCGACATGTTTGGACCAGGAAAGTCGTTGATCCACCATAACGCCCAGATACTTTATGTATGAAACTTTTTCAATAGATGTACACGTACAGTTACCGCTGGAAGGATTGTAACATTTATGTATTTGAGTTTAAAATCATCCTTTGGCTGTGATCGGCTAGTTATAGAAAAACATATGAATTAAGTTTTATTAACATTCAAAGTAAGTAAGTTATTATCAAGCCAACGAGCAACCTTAGCTAATTGTTTTTCCGCTATCAATTGCACTTCTTCCCAAGTGTCTCCCCAAAATAATATCGCAGTGTCATCTGCGTATGAGAAAACTCTTCCTTCTATTCACACTTATACTACACAGATTATTAATATACACTAACAATAACGTAGGGCCGAGTACGCTTCCCTGCGTTACACCATAATTAACATTTGTATAGCTACTACTGTATTGACCTATTCTTACAATCTGTGTCATGTCAGAGAGGTAATCCTTTAAAAGTTTTAGAGGTATGACTCTGATACCAATCTGTTCTAATTTATTAACAAGAATGGTGATTGATACAGTACCAAAGGCCTTTTTTAGATCTAGGAAGACAACAAGACATTTTCTGCTGTTATCCAAGGTATTTACAATTTGAGAATTCAACGCGGCAACTGCATCTTCCGTAGAGCATCCCTTTCTAAATCCGAATTGAGAGTCTGCTAATATTTTAAATTTAGAGAGATACTGTATAAGTCTATTGTTATTTAACTTTTCCAAAATCTTTGAGAACACAGGCAGCAAGGAGATTGGCCGATAATTACCAACTTCTTTCTTATCTCCACTTTTGTAAATCAGTATTACTATAGATTTCTTCAGCAGCAGGTTTGATGGCCTATAAATAATTGTTCCGGGTCTGGATGTTTGGCCTTGTGCAATTTATGTATGTAAACTGCCGCCACAACGCAAGAGAAAATCCTAGTGATTTAAAAAAATACTAACGTTACTAAAAACTAACTTTTTCAAAAAAATATATGACCAGTTGCACCTATCGGTGAAGCTGGTCATATATTTTAATGTATTATCTACTGATTGTTACCACTTTTCATCGTGAATCCATTCCACCAAGTGAGAAAGCGACGGTGTCTCAGTAGATACCGGGAACTCTATTTTAGGATAGATATTCGCGATTTTCGGATTGAATCCCTCCATGTATAACCTGGAATAAAAATAAGATATCTGAATGAAACTAGTTTATCTGCATGTGATCGTGGCTATAGCAGATTAATATTATGTTAATTAAACGCTTTAAAATCCGTAAAAATAGTTTCATTTAAGATGTGTTCGGGTACATATAAAATCAGATTTAGAGAAATCGATCTCAGAATAATATAAATCAAAATGTTTTTGTGTGTTCCGCGAAATGCTTCATTCAAAACGTATGATGAACTGATTTTTGTGCTTTTAATAAATTGATTTTTACATTTCCGACCGACTCCGTTTTTTCTATTTCGAGTATTTTACAGCACCCATGATCACGTACCACTAGAAACTTTCACGCAGACCCAGTCGCCACAGTAAGTATTTTATTAATAACGTACCGTTACAGTATCTTAAAGTCCACTGCTGTGCGTAGGCTTCCCTCACAAATTGCCCCATGAGGGACATTTACAATAGTTGCCACGCTTGGTAAGCGGGTTGGCTACCTCAGTTTATTTTTTACTTTTATTTACTATTAGGAAGACGTTGTTACACATCTCCTGATTTTTTCCCTCTGCAAGACACCCACTGGATGATATAGTGTGGTGGATATTCTTATACCGCCACTACACGGTTTATTATATATTACGATGTTATGTAAAGAAATGTATTTCAATAATTATGTACTAACTGTCCAATAGCATTGAGCAGGTAAAGAGCGTTGTCAGGGTGACCACGTCGAGTGAGGGCAATGTTTCGACAGTCTGCAGGCACCGAACGCTTTAAGATGGGTTGCAACAAGCCGTGAGGAGCAATCTCTATCAGCACGGCATTTGGTGGTACTGACCTCAGTATCTCTTCAAATAGTACAGGACTCTGCAAGTATTTAAAAATGTGATATAATATTATGACAGTTGTTTATGAGTTATTTATTAGTTTTTGAAATCTCTCAAGCAAACAGCTTATAAACGTGGTAGAGCCACGCTGCAGCTATATTATGGTTGTAGCACGAATGGGCCGGCTCGACCGGGAAAGAACCATACTTTCACAGAATACCAACGTGAAATAGCAGATTAATGCTGCTGTGTTTTGTATGGTGAATGTAGAGAACCGGAGACACTTTTTACTGAAAACGAGGCATTCTATCCTCTGTGGTGACAATGCATTTGAATTTTGATTCTTAATTGCGGATAGATGTCGTTATCTATGGGCCATAGCAACCACTTACTATGAGGTGGACTGTGTGCTCGTTTGTCACACTTACTCATTTTAAAAAACATATATTACAAACAGCAGTTTTTTTGCTTTTGTGCTATTTTTGTATTAAGATTAGAATTGTTTAACGAAGTTTTAATTAAAAAAAATATATAAGCACTATGAATAAAAAGAAGCTAGTTATACGAATTACTGGATAAAAAAGTGGTAATGGCCTCGCTATATAGCTCAAAAAGTTGACAGTCGATAGGTAAGAAAGATATTCAAATGGTAGCCTAGTATCATCAAGCGTATTTGATTTGATAGTAGGATGATAGCGCAGTAGATGGAGAATGCAGGTAAAACCATGCTATGTACATTACTTGAAGGCTTATATGTAACAGTGCACTTGTTTAAACTATGAATAACAATGATAATAATGTTCTCAAGACTAAATTTCGGTCACGGCGTCCAATCTTAACGAAGAATAGCCATCTGCGCAGGATAGGATTACAGTGCCCAAGTGTATGCGCAAGTACAAGTACACTCTATATTCCTTCACTCTCATAGCAAGGAACAATTTATATTGTTTGTTCATAGTCCGATGAGACGTTACCTACACGACCGGAGAAAGATCTGGCGAGCCGTATTTACGTTTTACGCGTTTTTCAGGCATGTAAATAGAACATCGCCAACTTCCTGGGTGCTACTGTGAATTTCTTTGACAGAAAAACCCAATAACTGATTTTGGATCGACCCGGGATTTGAACCCGGGACCTCGTGAATAACAACCGCATTTACGGTCACTAGATCAAGGAGGCAGTAATAATAATAATTAATAAATGGTTGATAATGACCCCCGGAACTTGGGAATGCGTTGTTCATAATTAAGCTGTTTCTACAATGATTATAAACGAGAAAACTTTATTATACCACTGTAGCTATTTTAAAGTGAACAAGTGTGATGCAGAATGTGACATTGAATGTAGAAAGAAAGCTGATCCGACGCTACGTGCTTTAGGATGGACTTCAAACAATAGGCCCATTATGTGCTTACGCGAAGAGTTATCTTATCTTATCTTGTTACTTAAATATATTTCAATTAAGTATTTGAAAAAAAATTATAAAACAAATTTTACGGATTTTATCGCGTTAATTTTAACTTATTTAACTTATTTTTGGATTCCTGACGTTTCAGGTTCACCCATGTCCACGAGAGAACTGAGTTTGATGTGTTGATGTTATAGACTGGCAGCACTGTACAAATGTTATCCAACTTACATAAATGAAGCTGGAGTTTCACCAAGTAACAACAATCATAAATATAAATTATAAAATTAAAAATAAGTGTACTACGCGCGATAAAATTCGTAAACGTTTTATTCAATGTCTCGTATTCATGTAAATTAAGAATTCATTAATTTCTTTTGGTTTTGTTTTTAAGAAGCCTTTAAGATTTTAACCCTGTACCGGGTTACACTGGTCATGTGGCGCAGTAGCTCATCAATGCGTTACAGTGCTGAGGGCTGTGCGTTCGATTTCCACATGGAAAGAGTATTTGAATGGCCTAAAAGTAATTGTTTCGGGTCATGTATTTGTCCTTGTGAAATTTATGTTGTAATAGTAAGAAGACATTTCTAGTGTGGAGGTAACATTTTTTTTAAATTAAGGAAGCGTAATCTGGAATAGAATTTATTCATCAATTATTCATCCAGCTTGTCAAATTCTGAACAAAGGCCTCTTCTATAAATTGTCTAATGGGGGGATCTCCCATGTGACACTTAGGTTGATATTAGGAAAGTACTGCCTATCTCCTGCTTCGGCATTCCTTGTCGCTTTAAACGACGCCCACGGAATGATATGAGGTAGGGGACATTCTGACGCCACTACTGTAGAGCGCCATATAGAATGCTTATGGACCATACAAATAGGTACATGTCCTATACTACTACTATCGACTATTTATTTCTATTTTTATTCTATAAAATTCTCACCATCATGTTGTTATTGTGGTACTCTGGACAAGAGAACTTAGCTGTAGGCTCGTGCCATCGCTCTGGTGGTACTGACGTGGACAACCAGCGCTCACTACGTTCCCTTGGTGTCATTATTTCTCTTAAATACTTCGTGTGCGTTTCACCTGAAACATTCGTTTTAAGGTTATTGATTGAAGAGCCGTATAGTGGTGTAAGAATGTCCACTAACCCCTAGCGTCCCGTGGGTGTCGCAAGAAGCGAGAAAGAAACTGAAAGAGGTGATGGGCAGAAGCATCTTCTTGATAACGACTCCAAATAATAAAAATCTACGGTTGCCAACCCAAGTGTGTCAAATATGGCAAATCTCCCCTATGAGGTAATCTACGGGAGAGGCCTATATTCAGCAGTGGAATTTTATGAAACGAGCATGCGGCTCACCTGATGTTAAGTGACTACCGCCGCCCATGATCAACCGCAACATCAGGGGAATTGCAGGTGCGTTGCCGGCTCTTTAGAAAGGAGTAAGCTCTTTTCTTGAAGATACCCAGGTCGTATCGGTCCGGAAAAATCGCCGGTGGTAAACTATTCCACAGAGAGGTTGTACGCGGAAGAAAACTCCTTTTGAAACGTACAGTGGTGGACCGCCAAGCATCCAGATGGTGTGGATGGTATCGGGACGTTTGCCGCGTAGTGCGTTCACGAAATTTGGCGGCTGGGATTAATCCGAACAATTCCTCAGAGCACTCCCCATGGTATATGCGAAAGAAAATGCAAAGAGATACAACATCTCTTCGCAGCGCCGGTGAATCGAGCCGATCGGAAAGCACTCGGTCGGCGACGATTCGAGCCGCTCTGCGCTGGATACGGTCAAGTGAAAGGAGCTGTACTGGCGAGCCCCAGCCCAGAGATGGGAACAGTATTCCATGTGCGGCCGAACATGCGCCTTGTAAAGTTGCGGTGTGCGGCATGAAATCTGTCCCGCTCTGGTGAGCACGCCAAGATTTTTAGAGTACACTTTTTTAAGTTTTTAGAGCACTTCTCTTCCAAGTGACCACGAAACTGCACGTCACTCGATATGTCGACACCGAGGATTTCGATACTGGCTGAGGCAACAAGGGAAATGCCTTGAAACTGAGGAGACACGACAAATGGGTTCTTTTTAATGGTAGTAGTGAATTAGTAAACACCAAAGAATATTATCACCTCTTAAGTGACCTTAAGGTCCTAAGGTCCTTAAACGAGTACCTCCCAAAGTCCTTCGGACTTTAAGGCCACTAACTTCCAACGACGAGATTTAGATACGTTCTCATTTCTGAGGACTAAGATGGGATGTGACCCTTTATAGCAGTACGCAACAAGGTGTATAAATTATTGCTGAACACACATTGTTATTGGTATGGTATCAGTCTAGAAGGAATCCTACACAGCGTTTAAGCCTAAGTACTAAGTAAATTTACATACCTAATGTTACATGTTAAACATAGGTTGCTTTATGGTGGTTGCTAGTATCCATCTGCGTATTTTGCCCCGTGGGTTAAGGGGCTTCTGGTAGTAAATCATACCTTCTAGTTGTATATAAAGCTGCGGGATACAGCTAAGCTGCAGCTATGTTACGGTTGTAGCACGAGTGTGTTGACTCGACCGGGGTAGGACCAGGCTTTAACAGAACACCAGCGTAAAATAACAGCTTAATAGTGCTGTGTTTCGTATGGTGAGTATAGAGAACCGAAGACCCTTTTCATTTCAAACGAGGCTTTCCATCTTAGTTATTAAGAGTGATAACGCATCTGCATTTTTATTCTTAATTCAGGATAAATGAAGATGTAGAGCATGTGAACTGTGAGCCCATTTGTCACCCTAGCCAATATACCGTAAAAATATACTGTTATTCTGATACAATTTCTATACAAATTGTGTTTTGACAACAAAAAGTATTCTATTAAAAAGTATTCCAATCGACTAATGTAAAACACCTAATATTTATTGCAGTTTTAAGTTCTCAATTTATTCGTACCATGTGCTCAAAGAAGGAAAACATCGCGGGAAAAGCTGCATTTCTATTAAATTAATTTATATCTTTTTTGAATAGTGGGCCGTAAAGTATTATATTATTGGGGGGGGAATTCCTCGTTTCCAATAAAAAGTGTCTGCGACCCTCCACACCCAAGATACGAAGCACAGCTGCATTGAGCTGCTATTTTACGCTGGTATTCTGTGATAGCTTAGTCCTTCCCCAGTCTAGCCGAACCATTCGTGCCACAACCAGAATATAGTTGCAGCATGGCGCTACTACATAAAATATACTTTCGTTTTCGTTTTATATAAAAACGTTACAACCACACTCGGATTTTCTCCTGTATCGTGGAGGCAGTTTACGAACATAAATTTCCCAAGGACAAACATTCAGACCCTGAACAATTATTTGTAGGCCATACAAATACTTGCTCCGTGCGGGATTCGAACCCGCACCCCAGCGCAGCAACTCATTGCTAAGCCACTGCGCCACGGAGCCGTCAAACTGATTCTCCATACCCTTCAAATACTGGAACACGTGCAAGCACTGTTATTTAAATAGGTCAGTGAGTGGTACCCGTCCAGAAGGATTCCTAGGCAAAAAAGTCCCACCATCTATAATAACTTTCATCAACATCATTCATCATTACAGCCCTTCACAAGTCCACTGCTGAACATAGGCCTCCCCCAAGTAATGCCACAAAGCACGGTCCTGAGCCACCTGCATCCATCGATTTCCTGCATGTCTTACCAGGTCGTCATTCCATCTAGTGGGGGGGTCACCCTACACTACGCCTACCGGTACGAGGCTGCCACTCGAGAACCTTTCTTCCCCATCGGTTACCGGTTCTTCGAGCTATATGGCCGGTCCATTGCCACTTCAGCTTACTAATCTGTTGGGCTATGTCGGTCACTCTGGTTTTACTGTGGATATCCTCATTTCTGAGTCTATCACGCAGAGAAACTCCGAGCATAGCCCTCTCCATAGCTCGCTGAGTGACCTTGAGCGTCCTCATACGGCCAGCAGTGAAGGACCACGTCTCAGATCCGTAAGTCATCACTGGCAACACGCACTAGTTGTACAATCTAGTCTTTAGAGATTGCGGTATACCTGACGAGAAGATGTGTCGTAATTTCCCGAACGCTGCCCAGCCAAGTTGAATACGTCGATTGACCTCTCGGTCGAAGTTGGACTTACCTAGTCGGACTATTTGTCCCAGGTAAACGTACTCGTCAACAACTTCGAGCATAGTGCTCCCAACAACTACGGTTGATGGACATTAAACATGATCTTTGTTTTGTTCATGCTCATCTTAAGACCTATCCGTTGGGGGACACCATTGAGGTCATTGAGCATAGTGCTAAGGTCCTCCAGCGATTCTGCCATAAGGACTATATCGTCGGCAAATCGAAGGTGAGTGATGTACTCGCCATTGAAGTTAATACCGTATCCTTTCCAGTCCAGTAGCTTGAAAACGTTTCCCAACGCAGAGGTGAAGAGTTTCGGGGATATAACATCATTCTGTCTTACACCTCTCTGCAGTTGGATAGGTTTCGAACTCTTGTTCTATACTCGGATAGCCATCGTAGCCCTACTGTACAAATACTTCAGCACTTCGATATACCGATAGTCAGCTTGGCACCGCTGAAGGGACTGTAGCACCGCCCAAATTTCGACGGAATCAAAGGCTTTCTCATAGTCCACATATGCCAGGCAAAGTGGCAGATTGTACTTTTTGGACTTCTGTACAATTTGCCGCAGGGTATGTGTGTGGTCTATGGTACTGAAGCCTTTTCGGAAACCGGCTTGTTCGGGAGGCTGGAAGTCGTCGAGTCTGCGTGCGAGACGATTCGTAACGACTCTCAAAAACAGCACGTAGATGCGGCTCAGAAGGGAAATCGGTCTGTAGTTCTTCAAGGGAGCGTTGTCGCCTTTCTTAAAGAACAAGACTATCGCGCTTCAGCTCCACGCCTCCGGAGTAGTGCCACCATGGAGGACGGAATTGAAGAGCTTCTGAAGGACTTCAAGTACCGGTGTTCCACCCGCTTTCAGAAGCTCCGCTGTAATTCCATCCTCGCCCGAGGTCTTGCCGTTTTTAAGGTGGTGGAGAGCCATTCTAATCTCTCTCAGACTGAAGTCCGGGATATCATCGGAATAGTGTCGGATAAGACTTGCTCTTGGATCGTTACTCACACTTGCGTGTGGCTCCAACGATGATGTGTACAGCTGCCCATAAAACCTCTCAATCTCACTCAGAATCTCAAGTGTCCCGGAAACGATGTTGCCACACTCAGTCTTTAGCGTTGACAATTGGCTCTTTCTGGCAGACAGATCTCTGGCAAAGACTTTGGAGCCCTGGTTCCGCTCGATTGCTTCTTTAATACGAGCAGTATTAAAGTTGCGTAAGTCTCGCCGCATGCATTTGGAAATCTGTCTGTTCAGTAGTCTGTATGCTGTCAAATCTGTTAACGATTGCAGCCTCATCTCCCGTCTAACAGCCATGAGATTAAGAGAGTGATCGGAGAGTTTTTGTGTTCTTCTGCGGCGGGTCTTGCAAAACTTAGCTCCGACCGCATGGACAGTTTCCACGGGCTTGTCATTCATATCGTCCACTGCATTGCAATTTTTTAAGCAGAAAGCGGTTACGTAACTCGAGCTGAAAGTTTTCGGGATTCTGGATTAGAGCACGAGGGGGACGGAGCGTTGACTTCATTAGACGAGACCTCTCCAACTTAACGTTTAGGTTCAGTGTGCCTCTAAACATTCGGTGATCGCTGCCAGTTTTCACCCTTGCGATCACTGAGACATCACTGAACAGTTGGCGTCTGGTCGTCATAGTGAAGTCAATCTCATTGATTAAAACTACTTTTAGGGAAATAAGAGCAGTCATTTTTTGTCGAACCGTCGGGGCTCGACAAGGTTCACTTCCTGTGGGGCCGCTTCTGGAAGAAAGAGTTCATCGTAAAGAGTCCCTCTTACTCCATAAAGTCGGCCAGCTGCTGGCCCCTTCGGTTCCGTTGCCCTACTCCAAATTTCCCTAACTTCAGCTCACCGTTTTCTCTTGTGCCTAGTTTTGCGTTGAAGTCTCCCATCAACACCGTGTAGTGGGTTTTGGAGGAATGCATGGCTTTGGAAATATCATCATACATTTCCTCATCACATCCTCCTTATCGGGATGTGCCGAGGTTGGTGCGTAGACCTGTATGACCTTCAGCGAATACCGTTTGGTGATTCTGAGTATCAGGTGCGTATCACGCGACCCTCGTCGACACACTCCCTCACACACACTCACTCATCTTTACAACGTTGTTGACGAGAGACTTGTGGACGATAAATCCGACACCTCCTTGGGACAGATGGTCGCACTCCCGGTGATAGAACAAGTTGCCGGACTCGAGGATTACCGTGTCCTCCCCCTCTCTTCGCACCTCAGATAATCCAATAATATGCCAGCGCAACTTGTCTACCTCTTCTTCCAGCTCCAGTATCTTCTCGTCAGTCCTCAGGGTGCGTGCGTTATATGTTGCCAGGACGAGTCGTCATAGGTGGCAACCGAACCTCCACCGGAGATTCTTAGCACTCCCTGCCCCGCCGTTACCATGGTCACCACCGTAGCCAGGAATAACAGGGCCGCCGGGGATTGGGCTCCGTTTGTTTGCGTCGTTATTCATGGGGGGATATTTGCCATAGTTGCCACGCTTGGCGAGCGGGTTGGCAACCGCAGTTTTTTTATTATATTATTGTTGTTATTAGGAAGATGCTGCTGCCCATCTCCTGCCTGTCTCCCTCTGTCGCCTCTTACGACACCCACGGGAAGATATGGGGTAGTGGATATTCTCAACCGCCACTACACGGCACATAATACTTTAGCTACCTATAATAGATATTAGTTCTTAACCTAACGTAATTATATAGGTTAAAGTAAAAATTATGTATTATTTAATTTTAAATAAACGTACCAAATCCTGAAACATACGGCGAGTGAAAAGCAATACCATTGGTGGGTACTGCTTTTGCGAAAATTCCTTGAGCCTGAAGTTTCTCAACAAATTTTTCTATATCATCTACGGGTCCTGATATAGTGCAGGAGTCAGGTCCATTGTGGCATGCCACAACTATCTCGGGTGGAACTAAGTTTCGGATCTAGAATGAAATAGGAAATTATCGTACACGGATTTGAAACATTTTTTTAAATAGCATGATTACGCGTGCGTGTTGCCAGTGACGACATATGGATCTGAGTGATCCTTCACTGCTGGTAATATGAAAAATCTCAAGGTCGGTCAACGAACTATGAAGAGGGCTATGCGCGGGGTTTCTATGCGTAGTGAACTAAATATGAGGCTAACCGCAGCGGAACCAGAATAACCGACATAACCCAACCGATTAGTAAACTGAAGTAGCAACGGGACGGCGATATAGTTTAAAGAACCAACGGCCTATGGGCAAGAAAGGTTTTTTTCGAGTGGTAGCCTCGTGCTCAAGGCGAAATATAGGGCAACCCCCAACTAGATAGTGTGACGACTTGGTAAAATATGGAAAAAGGCGATGGATGCAAGTGGCCCAGGGTCATGTTTTGTGGCATTCCTTGGGGTAGGCCTATGTTCAGCAGTGAAATTATAAAGGGCTATAATGATGAGTTATGATGATGAGCAATATTATAGATTATATTAGAATTTATTGAAATGACCTAAATATAGGGGCTTCCCTTGCCTTATAGGAGGGAATTTGCCACAGTTGCCACGATTGGCATTCGGGTTGGCCGTTGTAGTATTTTTAGTTATTGTTACGAAAACGCTACTTCTAATATCCTGCCTTAGTTTTCCTCTTTATATGGGATAGAGGTATTTTACACCGATACTACGTGGAAATAATATATAATGTACGAAACTAACGTACCTGTTGATAACCTAAGCCAACGGCAGCCATTGCTCCTTTAGTAACAGGTATGTCCGTGGCAACACGTCCACGATAATAAGATGCCAAGATCATTTCCTCAACAGTCAAGCAGCCATCACCGTACGCGCATCCAAGCTCTCCAAGACTGTGTCCTATAATTGATGTAGGCATATGTTATATTTGTGATTGCCTGGTTGATCTAGAGGTCGTTAATGCGACTGTTGATTATGTTGTACCGGTTTCGTTTTTTTTTTATAAAATAAGAGTAACAAACGAGCATATTATGGTCTACATTATATATTTCTTGTTGATATTTTGTTAATAGAATAAGGGTCACAAACGAGCACACAGTCCACCTGATGGTAAGTGAATGCTGTGGCCCTTAGACATATAAATTCAAAATCGATTACAAATCAAAATCCAAATGCGTTGTCACCCGTAAGGACTAAGATGGTATGCCTCGTTTCCAGTAAAAACAGTCTCCGGTTCTCTACACTCACCATGCGAAACACAGTATTATTAAGTTATAATTTTACGCTGGTATTCAGTGAGAGCGCGGTCCTTCCCCAGTCGAACCGACCCATTCGTGCTACAACCATAATATATCTGCAGCGTGGCTCTACCACATATAAAATATGTTTGTTTCATCATCTGCCCAAGATTCTGTATGGTTGATGCGCAAAGTTTCTAGCAGAATAGCAGGAGGAATGGGTTTACTATTACAACTGAGTCACAGACCGTTTTGTCGCAACTAATTATTAAGCTGTCTTTTTTGATTTAAACGTTGTATATTTTGTGGAAAATAAATACTTTTTATTTATTTATTTGAAGAATTTGTCTGTCTGCCTGTCTGTCGGGACTAACTGTAACGAAACTTCACGAAAAGATATAGTCAAATAATTTTTTCCGAACGACTTGAAAGGTTTAAAAAAAAATTGATAAAATAAAAAGGTGTTCGATTTTTAAATCCAAATGCGCCATATATATATTTCCTACCCAGGCAAAGGCATGGCAGGTTGCTAGTGTCTAATAAAAATATTTAATATCTCACCTATAATTTTATCTGGTACGATTCCCATTTCTTTGAGCACATCTGTGAGAGCAATTTGGATCGAAGATATTCCCAGGAACGAGTGAAGGACGCTGTTAAAGACTGTTTTGTCGGTTGAGGTTATGATTTCGATAATATCCAGTCCTTTAGGCTTCAGAGCTTTTTGAATTCTGCAACAAACACATTATGGATCGTAAAATATTTAGACATTTAAAACGTCCTAACTATTGATTTGAATTGGTTGACAACCGTAGGAGTAGAAGTAGTACGTCTACATCCCGTCTTGGTTTATGGAGTAGACATGTATGGTGAAGACCGTGATACGGTAAACGTAATTTGGGACGCACTCTGGATAGATTGAGCGACGATCTGCATTGCTGGCATCCACTGGGTGCGAGAAGCTGAGGATCAAGTTAGGTCGCACCCCTTGGGAGGGTTTATGTCCAATAGTGGACTGTCACAGGCTGATGATGTTAAGAGTGTTTTATGAATTAAATTATAATGTCAAAATAAAATGTATGTTGCTTGAAATTTGTCATAAAATTATAATGTCAAAATAAAATGTATGTTGCTTGAAATTTGTCATAAAATTATGTCAAAATAAAATGTATGTTGCTTGAAATTTGTCATAAAATTATAATGTCAAAATAAAATGTATGTTGCTTGAAATTTGTCATAAAATTATAATGTCAAAATAAAATGTATGTTGCTTGAAATTTGTCATAAAATTATAATGTCAAAATAAAATGTATGTTGCTTGAAATTTGTCATAAAATTATAATGTCAAAATAAAATGTATGTTACTTAAAATTTGTCATAAAATTATAATGTCAAAATAAAATGTATGTTGCTTGAAATTTGTAATAAAATTATAATGTCAAAATAAAATGTATGTTGCTTGAAATTTGTCATAAAATTATAATGTCAAAATAAAATGTATTTTGCTTGAAATTTGTCATAAAATTATAATGTCAAAATAAAATGTATGTTGCTTGAAATTTGTCACAAAATTATAATGTCAAAATAAAATATATTTTGCTTGAAATTTGTCATAAAATTATAATGTCAAAATAAAATGTACGTTGCTTGAAATTTGTAATAAAATTATAATGTCAAAATAAAATGTATGTTGCTTGAAATTTGTCATAAAATTATAATGTCAAAATAAAATGTATTTTGCTTGAAATTTGTCATAAAATTATAATGTCAAAATAAAATGTATGTTGCTTGAAATTTGTCACAAAATTATAATGTCAAAATAAAATGTATTTTGCTTGAAATTTGTCATAAAATTATAATGTCAAAATAAAATGTATGTTGCTTGAAATTTGTCATAAAATTACAATATCAAAATAAAATGTATGTTGCTAAAATTTTTTCATAAAATTTTCATACATTTTTTACAGTTAATATTGTGGCTTTTGTTTCAACATATTTAGTTGGTATCGCATTTTTTAAAGTAAGAGTGACATTGAATAAAACTAAATTTACGGATTCTATCGCGTTTACTTAACTGTATTTACTTATTTCCTGACGTTTCGGGTGCTTTACAGCAACCATGGTCACGGGGGGACTGAGATGTTTGACGTCCCAATGTCATTGTTAGCCCGGCTACCTTCAGTTTTTGAATATTAATTTTTGGCCCGATTTACACAAAACGAACTTACAGTATCTTGAAGTCTTGCAGTGGTATGTTGGGGTTTAGGTTTAATTTTGTTAATTATGGGATCCCAAGCAGATGGCAGCACCCAACCATCTTCTCTATTGAAAGGATGTTTTTTAATTTCAATAGCCTCGCGTATCATCCTTGGTAGGAATCGGTGTTCTTTTGCGAGGATTTGTGGTTTATCAAATCTGATGTAATGGTCGGGACGATCTTGAACATGTTCACAGACTGCAGACTTCCCGAAGCGTCGGTGCTTCATGTCAGCTATATGTTCTTTCACGCGAGTTTTTATGGATCCTCGTGAACCAATAAAATAAAAATGTTGTCTATCATCGAATTAGAAATTAAAGGCACATGTAATCCAATGTCGCGTTGGTAACACATACACGTTTCAAATTATGTTGTATTAAGCTGCATTTTTAAGCTGACAATCTATGCTGATTAGCACACATTTTGGTTTTCGATTTTAGGCAGCAATTTTGTTATAGGATAGGGCGACAAACGAGCACACAGTCTGATTGATGGTAAGAGGATGCTGTGGCCCATATACATCTACATTTAACCTCGATTAAGACTCAAAATTCAGATGTCTTGTTACCCCTGAGGACTAAGATGAAATGCCTCGATTCCAGCAAAAAGGGTCTCCAGTTCTCTACACCCACCATACGAAACACTGTGGCATTAAGCTGCTATCTTACGCTGGTGTTCTGTGTACTCTAAACTAATTCTAATGGAATCTATAAATGGATTAATTTCCCAGGTTTCCTATAGAGATAGACGTTTTACCGAGTGGCAAAAATCATATTGGTCCTACGTCTGACCTTCGAACGTGTTGGATGAATGTACCATTAGAATATGAGATAGAGTAGAAAAAGTGCACTTCTGCTTGCGCACACACGGGTACTATAATCCCGTCCTGCGCAGAAGTCCCCGTTTAGACTGGCCATTGTGACTAAACTCGGTCAGGACATTATAATTATTATTACCAGAGATAACTGAAAGGTCCCCTTTAAATTTGCTAACTTTTTGTGACCCGAGAATAAGAACCCCACCACGTCTACAAGCATAAAGTTTTGCCAAATCATAATACTTACCGCTTCATTGTAGCCGCGAATCTTGGAATCTGCATGAGCTGCGTACCCATGCCCGTCCACTGAGAGCCCATGCCACTGTATACGAACCATAACGGTCGCTTCAAGCCATCGAAATGTTTGACTTTCTTGTCCAGACAAACAGTTTCACCTTCCTTTGTATCTGGGCAAGTAAATCGTAAATTGACTTTGCTGACCAAAAGCCTCCCTTATAATTTGTCACACAGTAGGAGGGATGTTATTATAGTTGCCACTCTTGGCAGCCGCAATTTTTTATTATTGTCATTTCTGAGGACTAGGATGGCTCACTGTCTTTAATTATCATTGAATACTATAATACATACATAATATATAGAACGGGGGAGTGAGCGGATCTCGTGTAGCCACTAACATGTCTATTCACACGTATGAATGTCAACACAATCAATCGTTTCTATTTTCGTGTCAAGTGTCACTGCATGCAAATTATTTAAAAAATTGCAAATTGTGCAATAATTACGTATCGAAAGAACAGCGGGATGGAATTTAAATAAAGGAGACATATCCTACAACCAATAAGTCGAAACTATTTATATTTTGCGAATATTAGAAACAAAAATAAAGAAATATTCATGTGTCAAAAATATTAATCAAAAGTCTAAAAAGTGTTTGTAGTAGTGATAACTGACAATACGACGTAATTGCTTGTATGTGTGCTCCCGGCGACGCTAAACCTCGTACAAAATAAGGTTGACAGCCATTAGCATTGTGTGTTATAGTATTCTATGGTAATTATAGTGACTCTTTTCCACCCTTCAGACCAAAACACCGTAGAGTAGCCATTTAGGCTTGGCAGCGTAAATAGTTAAAAATAGTAAGTGTACAGATGAACTGCAAAGCATAAAGGGAGGTATACAACCCAGAGATTCATACTTTTAATTCCTGATATTTGAAAGGAACCAAGAAACATACTTAATTTTTTTTATAAAAATACAAATTTCTATAATAATTTAAACAAAACTAGTTTTTATAGATTCTATCGCGTATATTAACTGTCTTTTATATTGCCAAAGTTTCGAGTACTTTGCAGCACCTATGGTTACGTGGGGGACTGAGAAGGGGACCAATGTCTTAGTTAACCACGACCAAACAATCTACGCATTATAAACTTATAGTATCTTGAAATCTTATAGTTATATGCTTGTGTTGGGATTTAATTTTATTAGTTACTAGTAATCTGCGCCCGACCTTGCACGGGTGATTTCTAGATCTCAACATCGGTGTCACCTAACGGGTCCAATAAAAGTTTTAAACCATCTAGGGACTACTCAAATATACACAAAAAATCATCCAAAGTTGGTTGAAACGTTCTTGAATTTTAGCGAGATTAGTCTCGTTAAAGACATTAGTACGTTAGCGTACCGTAATGATTTTTATATATAGAGATAGGGCGCCAAGCAGATGCTAGCATCCAGCCATTTTCTCATTCTTTAATCAGTTCACGAATTTCGAAGGTGCGAAATATTGAACAAAATAAACTGTGCTTTGCGGTTATCTTCGTGGTTGACGTGTGTTTAGTATTATATTTGTGATGCGCTGCAATAACTATGATAAAACCAACCTAATGTTAAACTTACCTAATATAGCATAGCCCCGAGAGAGATGGCCATTAATTCTCTTCTCATCAATGTTGTGGAGCAGAGCCACTTCCTCAGGATCAAGTGGCCGTTTTGTTAAATCATCAAAAATCGTCTCAATGGTCGATTCATGTCTGCCCGAAGCAGTAACCAAGTAAGGTATGCTTGACTTATATTTTTGAAGTTGCTGATAATAAAATAATAATGGACCATAAAACAAGTGGTAAAATAAAAATTTTGTACATCCGACTTCAATATAAATATTTTATTGTTGATTTTTTAAAACCGTTCGACGACTACGATAAAATTTAAATGGTACCACCCAAGAAGCCGTTAAAAAGCCAAAAGCCCTTACATACCCTTTGAAACAAAAAAAGAATTTTTCAAATCGGTGTAGGCGCCTTTGAGTAATTGGTGAACATACGTAAAAAAAAGATTCCAACAATTGAGAACCTCCTCCCTTTTGAATTCGGTTAATAAAAAACATATTTTTTTAATAAACCATTTCAAACCATAAATGTTTGAAAAAATAAGCAGATTTTATAAACGAAATTTATTTTAAGGGAGCTTCATAATTATATATAGTCTGTCATCTCTAAACCTACCTATTTTTTCCGCAAAGTAAGTTTTATTAAATATTTCATATCCGCAGAAAATCAATTAAATTAACAACTCTTGAGCGCTCTAAGAAAGTTTTCTTGCCAGTTTTTGATGTAATTATAACGCAGTCTTTGATTATAATTTTGGAGTAGAGTAATAACCACAGTACTACAGATTCCAATCTAGTAACTTTAGGATCATCCCAAAATTGGAATTAATTGAAGTTCGAACACATCATCGTTATCACTACGTGGTGGAGCCATGCTGAAGCTATATTAATAGTTGTAGCAAGAATGGGTGGAGAATGGGGAAAGACCACGCTCTCACAGAATACCAGCGTAAAATAGGAGCTTAATGCTGCTGTGTTTTAGTACGGTGAATGTAGAGAACCAGCGACCCTTTTTCTGGAAACTAGGCATTCCACTTTAGTCCTCAGACGTGGCAACGCATCTGCATTTTGATTTTTGGCTGAGGATATAGGGGCCTACGAGCCATTGAAACCACTTACCATCAAGCTTAGCTTAGGAGTAGGTAATGTTCACAGCATAGCTAGTATCTATTGTTATTTTTTTAAATTCCTTTTTGTTTTTATTTGCTATAGAGTCATTTGGATACAGAAGCAACTTATCAATTGACTGCAGACTCAAGCAAAAAGATGTAGAGTTTAAAAATTAATTTATACTACCTTGGGTTTATACTCTCCGTTCAAAAGTACGTGGGCATTGACCCCATTAAGTGAAAAGTTGTTAACGGCCACGTAAGAACGATTGAAAGGCTCATTCTCTGTCACAATTCGAATCTTGCCATCACGTAGAACGTCAACATCTTCTCGTGGATTTTGACAATGCAGTGTAGCAGCCATCTTTCCACTTTGATATGCAAGTAGTACCTAAACAAACAATTAAATTGATTGCATTTTTTTTTATTTATTCATTCATTCATTACAGCCTATCAAAGTCACTGCTGAAAGTACACCTTCCCATAGATTACCTCACAACAGCAGCTTTTTTCATAGTTGGTATTAGGAACACGCTGCTACCCATTTACTGGTTTGTTTCCAACTGTTGCCTTTTACGAAACCCTTTTATAATGTGAGGAAATACTTTTGGATACCATCCGCTGCTGGGGTTTTCGGAAAGGTTACCCCGCGGCGCACGGCACGGCGCAGCACAAGGTAGGGTTTGAATGGACTTTTACTGGCTAAAATTCCACGGTGGTCACCATTACACGGGACGATATAGGGTAGTAGATCTACATGGGGTAATTCTTCATCATTCGATTGACACATCATTTCAAATTGGTAGAACAATATAGGAGATGATGTTAGTAACAAATTTAATTTTCTTACGACCAAGAAATAAACATATTTGATTTCATTTCATCATGTAATAATAAACTGCATCGACGAGATGCAGAATGCATCACAAACAGACGAATGCACCCCATATCTTCCCGTGGGTGTCGTAAAAGGCGACAGAGGGAGACAGGCAGGAGATGGGCAGCAGCATCTTCCTGATAAAAGCAACTATACTACAAAAAAACTGCAGTTGCCAACCCACTTGCCAAGCGTGGCAACTATGGTAAAATACTTCCCATGAAAAATTACACAAATAGACGGCTCCCAGTCCCCGGCGGCCCCGCTATTCCTGGCTACGGTGGCGACTATGGTAACGGCGGGGCAGGGGGTGCTAAGAATCTCCGGTGGAGGTTTGGTTGCCACCAACGATGACTCGACCTGGCAACGTATAAAGTACGCAACCTGAGGACTGACGAGAAGATCCTGGAGCTGGAAGAAGAGGTAGACAAGTTGCGCTGGAATATTATAGGATTATCCGAGGTCCGAATAGAGGGGGAGGACACTGTGATTCTCGAATCTGGCAACTTGTTCCATCACCGGGATGGCGACCACCTGTCCCAAGGAGGAGGAATTTATCGTCCACAAGCCTCTCGTTAACAACGTTTTAAAGATTGGGAGTGTATCGACGAGGGTTGCGTAACTTACACTCAGAATATGTCTTAAGATGAACATGGACAAAACAAAGACCATGTTTAATATCCATGTCACACCTAGCCGGTATTTGTTGGGAGCACTATGCTTGAAGTTGTTGACGAGTACGTTTACCTGGGACAAATAGTCCGACTAGGTAAGTCCAACTTCGACCGAAAGGTCAATCGACGGATTCAACTCGGCTGGGCAGCATTCGGGAAATTACGACACATCTTCTCGTCAGGTATACCTCAATCTGTGAAAGCTAAAGTGTATAACCAGTGCATGTTGCCAGTCATGACTTACGGATCTGGGACGTGGTCCTTCACTGCTGGCCGTATGAGAACGCTCAAGATCGCTCAGCGAGCTATGGAGAGGGCTATGCTCGGAGTTTCACTGTGTGATAGACTCAGAAATGAGGATATCCGCATGAAGGTAGTAAGCTGAAGTGGCAATGGGCCGGCCATATAGCTCGAAGAACCGATAACCGATGGGGAAGAAAGATTCTCTAGTGGCAGCCTCGTATCGGTAGGCGTAGTGTAGGTCGACCCCCCACTAGATGGAGTGACAACCTGGTAAGACATGCAGGAAGTCGATGGATGCAGGTGGCTCAGGACCGTGCTTTGGACTTGTGAAGGGCTGTAATAATGATCGACGAGATGCAGTGCATTGTGGATGTTGTGAAATTACCCTAATATAATTTCATTATTTATCTATAAAAAGTATTAAAAGAACGAGAACAATAGAACTAATATCTCTATTCAGCTAAGTATTGGTTAATCGTCCCTAATTGGAAGACGTCTATGATCAACAGTGGAAACAAAATCCAATATCCTTCGTACATCTAATATATATTCTCAGAATTTCAAAATTGCAATAATAAAAATAAGTTTAAATCGCATATTAATAGAGTACTACAAAATAGATATCAATATAAATTAATAGTGTATACTAATACTGCCTAGCACTTTGTTGATGCACCATATGGCCAATATTGTATATTGATCAATTTAAAAAAGTAATAATTTTTTTTACTTTAAATTTTGAAGCGAACTGAAGCATCTGCACATCGGCCATCGAGCCGACCAGAAAGTCCGGACGGCATAAAAGGAAAGTTATAAAACAATAACATTTTTGATACCAACCTTTGTAATAGCTAATAATCCAGAAGCTGATTCTGTATATCCTGTACTGGACATTATACTACCGATTTGTAGCACCTTAGATTTGTTGCGACAAAACACTTCACCTAATGCTTTCAGTTCTGCTTTATCAACTTCCGGAATACCTGATGAAACAAATACAAATATTACTTAAAGTTTCAATAACGAGATTAAAAATGAGATTATTTCCACCAATATTTCTTTTTTTTTTAATTTAATTATTTAAGTAATTTACGGTTACAAAGAAAAATAGTTTTAGTGTAAACGTAAACACATTAGAGTTTTTCCGTACACTATTGCTGTCGACACATTATTCTAATTAACACATTACAATACATTACATTACCTAAGTTACATTAATATTATTATCAACCTAAATTAGGTGCATTAAATGTTATGTTTCTATTTTACAAACTGTTTTTCTATTTAACATAAATATAAAATGGTTCTAGGCGATGAGCGTAAAATGTCATAGTAAACTTATTACATTCTGTGAATAATCGTGATACAGGTTGATTATAACATATATTTTCATGAATTTATAATAAGATAATATGTTGTTAAAGTAAAGCAACAACATAATAGATAGAGAAGTTGTTTTGAGCGTTACGAGTATTTAGTAAGAGTTAATAGTATGTAAAAAAATTTAATTTATATTTTATGATTTTACGTGTAATGACGTCTTTCAAAGATTTAGGTAACTGATTGATTAGATTAGGTATAACATAGTTTAAAGTTCTTTTTCCGTATAAGTTGTTATATATAGGTGATTGTTGTCTTAGATTATCGATTCTGCGTGCGGAGTATTAAAACGTATCCACCTTTTTAAAATTTTTAGTAAAGTATTTTCAGTTGGTAATGTTAGTTCAACTTTGTCGTGAATAGGTATAATTTTGCAAAATGCAAATAGTTTTCGATAATCATTTTTAAAATTAATTTTGAGATTATTAGGGACTATTTGTTTTAAAATGCGCAGCTGAAAGGAGTATATTCGATCTAGATATGTTTTATAAGTTCTCCCATAGCTTGACAAGCCATATTGTATAACAGATTCAGCTAAGGATTTATAGAGCATTAAAGAGGTTTTGTAAGGTATTTTGTGTTTGATTAATGTAAACTTTGCTTTTTTCTCGATCGTCAATAATTATGTCAAGATAGGTGTGCTTATTTACAATTTCTATGGAATCGCTATTACAGGGAGTCGAATTGTCAGTATTTTTTTATATGAAGGCAGTGACGTGTGTGCCCTAATAGTTTAGGTATAAAAGAACTTCTATTGTGGCTTGTGCTTATATACATATGTTTAGTTTTAACAGCATTGAGTACTAAACCGACATCGTGTGACCACTTTGTCAGTATGTCAAACTCTTTTTTAAGTTTCATTAGTACCTCCTCTATACTACGTCCAACAGCTATTAAATAGGTATCATCTGCAGACTAATAGATCGCACACTGATTAATTAAATTGGAAAGACTGTTTACGTAGGTTAGAAAGGGTAAATTTACAATAATTCACTTACATGATAAAGTTTAAAACACATACAAACAAATAATAGTCTTATCCTAGGCGTACACTAATATAACGAATCAATTTCACTCAAACACATCCAGTAGTAATTATACATTTTTAGCAATTTTTATTTCTAGAACAAACAAAATACTAATAAACAGGGTACTTTTAAAGACTTACGTAGCCAAGGCGCAAACAATGCTTGGACGCGCACCTTACTCAGACCAAGCGTAGCTAGAAGCGACGCGTAAAATAGTGAAATCAAAGTACGCTCAGGTTAGAAGTTAAATAATATTTTAAGTGCTTTCTAAATGTTGGGATTGATTTTGCATCTTAGATATTTTTCGGTAATTGGTTATACAATTTCGCACCTTCGTACATTAGGTTTTTTGTACCATAATTAGTTCTTGGGGTTAAGAGGCAAAGGTCGTTTGCACGATACATATATATATATATATATATTTATATTTATATATATATATATATATATATATATATATATATATATATATATATATATATATATATATATATATAAAATATATTATATATAATATATTTTATATAAATATGGTTGTATTTTTAGTTTTATATATATATATATATATATATATATATATAACTAAAAATACAACCATACCCCGTATGGCACCAGAAATAGAAGTTAATTTTGCTTTAATTTTAGAAATATGTGGTTTGGGGGATGAGTCGCTCGCGTCCGTAGGCTTCGACCACCTAACCTTAGGCCCACCCTACACGTGTCCCCCGGGTGGTGCTAAACGAGCGACAAAGCTGATAAAATAGACTCGGCTCCTCGCCGTATGGTAGCGGCGTAAAATCTACCACCAACCCTTGTTCGCACCATGACTCAAGAAATAAAAGAAATGGCCCCGAGTTCCCGGCACCCTTTAAATGGGGCAGGGGTGCGAAGAATCTCCGGGAGAAAAACCGGCGACGAGGTTCACCACCCGTCACGTTCTGTCTCCCGGAGGGGCGAAAAGTGGATTGCGGAAACCCGTCTGGCTACGCTGAATGTATGTGGAGGAATGAATGATAAGATGGATGAAGTATGCGAAATGATGAATGACAGAGGAATAGATGTGTTATGTGTGAATGAGACGAAACGAAAGGGAAAGGATGCCACTGCACATGGCACGTATACCGCGTATTGGTCTGGTGTAGGCGAGACCAAACGGGCATGCCAGGGGTTTCATCCTTTCAGAAAGAATGGGTCAATGTGTGAAAGAGTATGAATGTGTAAGCCCAAGACTGCTATGGATACGAATGAAAGTGGGCTTAAAGAAACTGTTCCTGCTAGGGGTGTACGCCCCAGACATGTCTAAGCCCACTTACATCCGAGAGCAGTTTTGGGACATGGTAAGGATGGTGTTAACAAAATGTAAGGAAAATGAAAATATTATTATGTTAGGAGACTTTAATGGAAGGGTTGGGGTGAAGAGGTCTGGTTATGAAAGGATATTGGGAACGTTTGGTGATGAAAGTATAAATGAGAATGGTGAAGACCTCCTCACCGTATGTGCGGAAAAGAATCTTTTTGTGACGAATACTTTATTTCGTCATAAGAAGATTCACATGTATACATGGGAAAGAGGTGATGATAGAAGCATGATAGATTTCGTAATTGTGGATGAAAGAATGAGGAGCGCAGTCGTAGATACAAGGGTTTACCGGGGGTCCAACGTAGGGACGGATCATTACTTGGTCTTATGTCGAATTAATGGTCTTTTCAAGCGTTGGCGGCATCGGACATCTGTATCTACCACTGCATTACAGCGTATAAGAATAGAGAAGTTACAAGATGAAGATGTGATAGAGAAGTATAAATGTAGACTGAGAGAAAATATTAGATGTTTGAATGAGTTGTGTATGAATGATTTAGACTTGAATACTGTGTGGGATAATATTAAGAAAGGTTTGGTGGATACCGCCACCGAAGTATGCGGTGTAAGTAAGAGAACAAATGAAAGGAAAAGTAATACGTTATGGTGGGATGATGAGGTACGGGTGGAAGTTGAATCAAAGAAGAAAGCATTGTTAGATTTACTAGCAACCAAAGCTGATAATTCTTCTGGTATGAATGATGAGATTGAAAGAAAAAAGGCAGAATTTAGACGTCTAAATAAGAGAGTAAAAGAAGTTGTTGAAAGGAAAAAGAAAGAAAGAACGGATAAGAATGATAGAAGGATATCTGATAATTTCCAGGCTAACATAAAAATGTTCTGGAAACTCGTAAGAACTGCCAGGGGAAATACAAAACAGCCTATAATAAATGCTATAAGAGACGAGAATGGATGTATTCTGAATGATGAAGTTTCGATTTTAAACAGATGGAAGGAATACTTTGAAAGCGTGTTTATGAGTGAAGAGTTGTATGAATTAAATGAACTAGAAATTCCGAAAGAAGTGGAAAGGGGTATGGAGATAAGTGTAGATGAAATAATGAAAGCAATGAAAAGCATGAAAGCAGGTAAGGCAGCTGGATATGATAGAGTATCACTCGAGATGCTAAGGGCTGGAGAGGGAGTGGTGGCAGGCCTGCTGTACACCTTGTTTAATTTATGTTGGGAATTAAAACGGGTACCGGATGACTGGTGTAAAGCAGTTATAGTACCAATATATAAAGGAAAAGTGTCACAGCAGGACTGCAAAAACTACCGCGGTATCAGCTTGCTTAGTATTGTGGGTAAACTGTATGCTAAGGTGTTAATTGAAAGAGTTATGAAAGAAACTGATGGAAAAATTTGGGATGTGCAAGCGGGTTTTAGAAAGGGAACGGGGTGTACAGATCAAGTCTTTTCCATGCGCATGATTGCGGAGAAGTTTTTGGCCAAAAACCAGAAAGTTTTTTGTGCGTTCATGGACTTGGAAAAGGCTTATGACAGAGTGGACAGGAATGTGTTATGGCAAACACTGAACTCATATGGGTTGAGCACTGGTTTGATACAGGCATTAAGGTCTCTTTATAGGGACTCTAGTGCTTGTGTCAGGATCAATGGGGTCTACTCGGACTGGTTTGGCATCCAAAAAGGTGTCAGACAGGGCTGTGTGGCTTCCCCTTGGCTGTTCAACCTATTTATGGACCGGTGTTTGCAAACTTTGAAAGATGAAGAATGTGGGTTAAGAATGGGCGAGTTAACCGTCAAATGCCTTTTGTATGCCGATGATCAAGTCATACTTGCGTCATCGGCGGCAGAGTTGCAAATGATGGTTACATTAATGAACTGGGTATTAAAAGAAAGGGGAATGAAAGTGAACGCAAGTAAGACGAAAGTGATGGTTTTTGAAAGAGAAGAAAGCAAAACGGTATGTGAAATAAGAATAGAAGGAGAGTTGATTGAGCAAGTGGATGAGTTTGTGTATTTGGGATGTGTATTTAGCAGGGATGGTAGATATGATAGGGATATGTAAATGCAGGGAATAGAGTGAATGGGGCACTACACTCTATTATGAAGAACCAGAATTTATCAAAACAGGCATGTATGGTAATTCATAATGCTGTGTTAGTCCCTACTTTAATGTATGGTAGTGAAAGCTGGGTGTGGCAGAAGAAGCACGAAAGTAAAATAAATGCTGTAGAAATGCGGTCTTTAAGGAATATGCTAGGGTGTAATCTGAATGACAGGGTGAGAAATTGCGTGATAAGAGATAAATGTGGTATGCAAGATGATGTTGTGACCAGGATTAAGAAAGGAATGCTTCGGTGGTTTGGTCACGTAGAAAGAATGAATGAAGAAAGAGTGACAAAGCAAATTTATATGGCAGATGTGAATGGCCGAGTCGGGAAGGGACGCCCTAGGAAAAAGTTTATCGACCAAATTGGCGATATTTTGAAAATGGGCCACGTTAGAAGTACCCTTAACCGACGAGCATGTATGCGTAGATATATGGATGTAAAGGAGGCGAAAGAGGTATGTCAGGATCGTGCCAAATGGAAGTCCGTAGTCTCTGCCTACCCCTCTGGGTAACAGGCGTGAGTGTTTATGTTATGTTATGTTATGTGGTTTCTATGGTAAGTGCGAGTCTAATATCAGTCCAAGATATTTCTCTTCATTAACTTTATTTATAATTTAGTTATTTATTTTCAATGGCGTGTAGTGTGATATTTTTTTTATTTTTTTTGCTGTAAATATTATATAGTTCGTTTTTGATATATTTATAGTAAACCGATTGCGTTGAAACCAGGTATTTAGAACATCTAAGTCATTTTGTGCATCTTTAATAACAGAGTCTATAGAATGGCCAAAGTAGAATAGAGCGGTATCATCGGCGTATAACGTTATGTCTCCATTAAGCGCCAGTTCTTTTATATTATTTATATATATATAAGAAACAAAAGAGGCCCCAGAATCGATCCCTGAGGTATACTACATGTCACAACTCTGGGCCCACTCTGTGTTTCACCGATCTTAACCACTTGCCGACGATTTGTGAGGTAAGATCTGAGTATCTCACGAGCGGTTCCTTTAATGCCAATATCAAACAATTTTTTTAATAACAGGTCGTGACTAATTGTATCAAAAGCCTTCTTTAAGTCTATGAAGACTCCTAGTGCTATTTGTTTTTTATCAATACTAAGTTTCACTTTAGTTATGAGGTTTACTGTAGCTGACAGCTGTTAAATACTGCTGCTTATAAAAGAAGTTTTGAGCAGAGAGATAAGTTTCAAGACGTTTATACAACAGTTTTTCATATATTTTTGACATTACAGGAAGAACAGATATTGGGCGGTAATTGCCAGGTTCCAATTTAGTACCAGATTTAAATATAGGTGTAACTTTAACGATCTTTAAACTATCAGGGAAAGTACCATTTTCTAGATTATTTATGCAATTAGTAAGTTCAGGCAGGATGATGTGTTTCAAGCCTGTATTGATTTGCTATTAACCCCATCTAATCCGGAGCTAGTATTTGTGCTTAAGCTATCTATAAAATTAGCAATTTCTTCCATTGTACATGGCTGTAACTGTGTTAGCGCGATTGACTTGGCAATGTTTGCTTTATTTGTATACGTTAAATTATTATAAGGATTTGCTAGTATCTGACTATTTAAGATCAAGCCTACATTAGAAAAAAAAATCATTAAATTGCTCACATATAGCATTTTCATCCGTTATGTAACCATTGGGTGTATTCTATCTAAAATTTTCCTATTGATCCAGTCTTGGTGAGATGGGTTAAGAATTTTTGTTTTTGGGAATCTACTATTGCTGAGGCAAGAACCCAGCTTCTCTTTAAATAGTTCATATGATTTATTACCAAGTTAAAGTTTTTCTGTGCCTATGCCTTCCGTTACCTAGACAGGGAAACTAAGAGCATCACCAATTTTCGCTCGATAAGATCTTTCATGGAGATAATTTTCACATCACGCTAGTAATTTTCCTATAATTTTGCTATCATTTAAGCTTTGAATTAATTTGTTGTATCTTAGGGTGTCAAAAGCCTTGCTATAATCAATAAAAACGACTAGAATGTGCTTTTTAGAGTCAATATGCGTGTACAAACTATCCATGAATGCCTCACAACTACTTTATAGTTGTGAGGTATTCATTTGAGGTTGGAAACCATATTGTTTGCTGGTTAATATATTATTACTTTCATAAAACCTATGGATTTCTCCGCTTATATATTTTTCGACTATTTTGTCTATGGTAGGTAACATCGTTATTAGTCTATAATTCTCATACTCAGTCCTACTACCTTTTTTGTGAATTGGTCGAACGATTCCATTTTTCAGTAAGGGAGGATATTTACCCGTAATAACGATTGCATTTATTAATTTAGCAATAACTCTTTTGATTTTTCCGCACAGCAACTTTAGACCAATGGCTCTTATCCTGTATACAGCAGGGGTTTTGTTACTACTTATTGATTTAATTATATATTCCACAGCTTTAGAATCGGCAGGCATAAATCGCAAGGTTACATTTGCCATAGATTCGTAAATTGCTTTGTCAAGCAATAATTCCGAACATTTCGGAATTATTTGTTTTACACTATTGTTGGATATACTAGCAAATTTGTTCGCAATGCCTTTGCTAGTGCAGCTATTACTACCGAAAGATATTAAAAAAAGAATTAGTTTTATGGACAAAACAAAATAATATATCATAATACTGAAGTGACGAAAGAATGGAATGGAATGGAAGAATGGCTGGAATTCCACCGGATGGTAAGTGGCTACTGCAGTCCACAGTGCAGATCAACTTCAAAAAAGACGGCTAGTGATGCGTTGTCACTCCTGTGGAGACTAAGATAGAATGGCTTACAGCATTTAAATTATACTAGCTGTCTTTACCCTTTATTATAAAACAAAGTAGCATAAGCACTGCCATTTAGGGAGAGAAATAAGCAAGAGGGTGACCTTTCTGTGTTTAGTATTGTGAGTGACAGGAACTGGAGATTAATTTTACTGGTAACGAGGTATCTGTCTTCGTACTCGAGGATAACAACGCATCTACATTTTTATACTTAATCGAGGATAGATGTTAGAGTCTATGAGCTACAGCATTCACTTATCATCAGGTGGATTGTGTTCTTGTTTAATAATCTCATTCTATAAAAGTAATACAAAATTTGGTAGTGTTATTCGGGTCAGAGCACATTAAATTACGTAGAAAATATTTTATAGTTGGTCTCACCAGCTCCAAACGCTTCAACATACTCCACAAGTTCAGGCGATACTCCCGCTTCTTTGTAAAAAGCCTTAAGATAATCTGATAATTTAGCTGGATCACGGTAAAAACCGGGAATAGAATCAATATTACTTGAAATGTCGTTGAATTCACTTTTGACGTGCACAACATTAGCATAAATTCTGGAAAAGTGATGGACGATTTTAACCATGTCTATCAAATAGTTTATTTCTGTCGATTCGATAAACACTTATACTTGGTTTTTATAGACCGTGACGTGAAACTGGTCGGTTTTTATAATTAGTATATTAACATAAATATATACATAATGTATAAATCTAATATCATCGATTAAGTAAAATTTTCTAATGTCTCAAGTTAATCATTAAGGAATTTATCTATAGAATAGTATGATTAAAAATAAATATTGTGAAATTAGTATGAATATTTCTATAAATTACAAATGTGAAGCTGGAGTTTCTACAAGTGACAAAGATCGCAAGTATGTATTATTATTTTACTTCTTTAACAACTCGAAATGCAACAAATTTGGTCTTACCTCAATGCGTCCTTTGCTTTTTGTAAAAATACAACGCTAATCCCCTCAGATTTGACGCAGCCATTAGCGTTCGCATCAAAGGACCTGGTTTTCCCGTCCTCGCTAAGTTTTATTGCTCTGAAAGCATTCAAAATGTTAATTTATGTATGTATTTTGTTTTAATGTTTATAGCTTTACAAAAGATCATCACCACTCTATACAATTACAATTTACTACTAATTTTATCAAATTACTACTAAACTGTTTTTATAGGATAGGGTGACAAACGAGCACACAGTCCACCTGATAATAAGTGATTGCTCTGGCCCATAGACATCTACATCTATCTTCATTTACGAATCAAAATGCGAATGCGTTGTCACCCGTGAGGATTAAGATGGAATGCCTTATTTCCAGTTATAAGGGTCTGCGGTTCTCTACACAAACCATACAAAACGTAACATAACACAGCAGCATTATGCTACTATTTCTCGCTGGTATTCTGTGAGAGCGTGGTCCTTCCCTGGTCGACCCGATCCATTCGTGCTACAACTATATTACTAATATAACTGCAGCATGGCTCTACTACGTGTACAAACTTTCGTTAGGATTATTCTCGCCTAAAGATTGCCTGGGTGGATAGAGGGAATATTTTCCATAGCGCTTGGCAGGCGGGTTTTCATCAGATTTGTTTTTATTATTATGCCTGCACGTTGCCTACAAATTATTTCCTGTTTCTGTTATCTCTATCGCATTTTAACCGACAAGAGATGTTTTTGGAGTAAATTGTGTATTAAGAAAGCTGTTACAATCATGGCATAATCTTAATTACCTTCAGATATTATATATCAAATTTGCCTTTAAAATAATGACAGTTTTAGTTTAAATTTTGAATATATATGCGGATTTTATCGCGTTTAATTAACTTATTTTAACTTATTTTTAACTCCCGACCTTTCGCGTTCTTTACAGCACCCATGGTCACGGGATGGGACTGAGATGTTTGACGTCCCAATGTCATAGTTAGCCCGGCTACTTTCAGTTTTTGAATATTAATTTTTGGTCCGATCTACGCAGAACGAGCTTACAGTATCTTGAAGTCTTGCCGTAGTATGCTTGGTTTCGGATTAATATTTTTTTAATTATAGCGTCCTAAGAAGATGGCAGCACCCATTCATCTTTTCTAATGAAATTATGATGCTTTTTAATTTCAATAGCTTTGCGTATCATTCTTGGTAGAAGTCGGTGTTCTATTGCTAGGATTTGTGGTTTATCAAATCTGATGTAATGTTGGGGACGATCTTGAACATTTTCACAGACTACAGACTTCCCGAAGCATCAGTCCTTCATGTCAGCTATATGTTCTTTCACGCGGGATTTTATAGATCTCTGTGTTTGACCTATGTAATAGAGACCACATTCATTGTGTACAATTCAGATTGTGCATGCATCGCTAGATTGTAAATGTGCTCTCCTTTAACATTGGTCAAACAATAAGATCTATGAAAACCTGCGTGAAAGAACATATAGTTGAGATGAAGCATCGACGCTTTTATATTATTAAAAAACATCCTAATTTCAATAGAGAAGATGGATGGGTGCTGCCATCTGCTTGGGATCCTATAATTAACTACATTAAATCCAAACGTAAGTATACTACTGCAAGGCTTCAAGATCAAAAAAAGATGTAAAAACAAATATGATAAACGCGAAAGTTGAAAAATATGGACGGATCCTACACTGAAAACGTGAGAAAGTACTTAGGTATTATGATTTTTATTTTTCATACTCGATATACTCGCACACATAATATGAAGAGCGCGTCCTACCGCGGACTTTCAGAGCTTAACGTATTTAGTTGTGTGTAAAATTGTGGGATCTAAAGTGCTTCACACTTATACAGTGTAACATTATGTCCGTATTTTTAGGCTCCGTAATGGTAAAGTTTAAAAATTTGCTGATAACAAAGAGCATATATTTGCAGCACCAGACCTCATTAATGCACAAGCACCATTGTCTATCTTAACCCTTAGTCGACTTATAAATACTTATGGATCTTTTACTATGACGATAACCATCATTAAATGTCCATCAGACAGAATTTTGGTCACGGCGGCCAGTTTTAATGGAGACTACCATCTGTACAGGTTTATAGTGCCCAATTATATACACAAATCTAAGAGCACACTCTATTCCCTCACTTTCATAGTCTGGGACGGTAATCCGACAAGACAGGAGGGGGAGAAATCAGACGCGTTACCAACGGCTTTATCTGCTTTCTGAGGCACGGGAGTGTAACACCGCAAAATCACTTATTCCAGGCTGCTACAGAGAGTTTCCAGACAGAAAAACTCAATAACTGCGTTTGACCCAACCCGATATTCAGCCTGGCACCTCATGATAAGTCATCGCTTTCGACGAGTAGAAGTAGTTGTACCAAGGAGGCATTAATTTACGCTACCACCAAACAAAAGACAATGTAAATAAATATTTTCGTGATGATACCTTCCAAAATGAACCAAGGATTGAGGATGAAGGGATAAGTTGCTTCCTCCAACAAGAGCCGCTTCAATCTCTCCGCGCTTTATCGCATTAACCGCTTCTTCAAGAGCCACCATAGAACTACAGCCTGACTGGTCCAGTGACAAAGAAGGACCTTTTACGTCGAGCCAATACGAAATACGATTCGCGAACATTGATTTGCTGCATCTAAACAAAAGACATGCTCGTTTAAGGACTTGTATTTTACGTAATCTTTCTCTAGGTAGTAAGTATGATCTTAAAATCTAAATCCATAAAAATCATTTCATCAAAAGGTATTATTACAAAACGTGGTATATTAGTAACCTCTGATTTAAGCTTTGGTTTATCAAGAGTCACGGCGCGACAGTCTGCGAATTATGAAATTTGCTGTCCCAAACTTTATATTTTAGTTCGCATATTATCCACGGTTTCTTTATTAAAATAGACTGTAGTTTAAACTAACTCATAATAAACACATTTTGTAATTAGACGGAATGCACTGTTTTATAATGTAAGTAAAAATGTTGATGCTGATTCCCAAATATATTCAAGACACAGAATAAATTCTTGATTTTTTATGTATTCCGGGTACGACCTGCAAGTATGCTGTTATCTTTTTGTAATTTTAAAGTGACATAAGAGCTACCAGTCTTCATGATCGTATTTTCCACAAGGTGAGGTGCTGTGCTCGTAGACAGATACACAAAAAATCAAGCCAGAATCAAAATGCATGTATCTAGCATTTTCAATCCAGAAGTTAGCTTTCCTTGTTATTAGTAAAATAAACGTTTTACAAGTTATAAGGAAGACTACCGTTTCTCTACGGTCACTTTTTCGATTAACTGATGACTAGTTGTATTTTAGGTCTACCACGTAACATTCGATAATATATATTGGCAAATTATGTATATCTTACCCACTTATTCCAATTCCATTTTTAAAATCATTATAAAAGCTAGTTTTATCGGTTTCTGAGTGGCATGATCCAATGTATACACCAACATCTTTTCCTTGAAGATGCTCGGGACTTAGACCTGATAAAATAACGATGTAATTTTACAAAAATTAAAACCAACCACAATTACCTTTCGATCCGGTTAAATATGTACCGTGTTACTCAAAAAGTAATAACAGTATATAACTGTAGATATATGGGTTAATAAATATCCATAATATCCCAAAGCGTTCACCCTTGGTCTTTTTTGCATAGTTGCCAAAGTTTTTTGGTTAAATTGGGTTGTTATCAGCTGTTATTAATCACCTGTTTTGTTTTCCTTTCTCGACTATTATAACCTCTACGGTACAAGAGCGGTATTGGATATTCTTATACCACCACTTATCCACTAGATGGAGTGACGACCTGGTAAGGAATGCAGGAAGTCGATGGATGCAGGTGGCTCAGGACCGTGCTTTGTGGCATACCTTGGGGGAGGCCTATGTTCAGCAGTGGACTTGTGAAGGGCTGTAATGATGATGAATGATGATGATGATGATACCACCACTACACGGTCTAAATTCTAATTGTAGAAAATAAATTCACAACTACTATTCATCTGCCCACAGTTACAACTTAACGCTATAAAATATTTATTACACACTCATTAGAATTGTATAATTTTTAGGTAAGTTGTAACTGCTAGAAAAGAAATAGCCCACTATACACCGTAGATATTGCTATTTTGTAATTTGCAATTTTGTTGTTAACAATATATGGAATCCACCAACAAGCAATGAAGTATCACGGCGGACAAATTGCTCTATTACTCTTTGTTCTATGTATATCGTATAGGACGAAAATTCATTACTTCACTAAAAAAGCAAAGTTACAATTTACATATGTCCCAGTATGACATAGGTGACCTCATTCATAAGTTTTATAAGACAAGAAAATGTTGGCCGTGCTGTCCCAATGAATCTTGGAAGATTTCACGTGTTTTAGAAATATTTTTAATTCCTCATTTAGTCTTATCTCTGTCATTATCATCATCATTATCGTCATTACAGCCCTTCATAAGTCCACTGCTGAACATAGGCCTCCCCCAAGGTATGCCATAAAGCACGGTTCTGAGCCACCGGCATCCATCGACTTCCTGAATGTCTTGCCAGGTTGTCAATATGTATGAGGCTGCTACTCGAGAAACTTTTTTCCTCAGCAGTTATCGATTTTTGTATTATACGGCCGGCCCATTGCCACTTCAGCTTAGTAAATCCGTGGGGCTATGTCAGTCACTCTATTTCTACTAGGGATATCCTCATCCAGTTTATCACGCAGTGAAACCCCGAGCATAGTCCTCTACATAGCTCGGTGAGTGACCTTGAACGGCCTCATACAGCCAGCAGTGAAGGACCACGTCTCAGTTCCATAAGTCATCACTGGCAACACGAACGGGTTGTACAGCCTCGTTTTCAAGTTTTGATGGTATAGCTTATGAGAAAATGTGTCGTAATTTCACGAACGCTGCCCAGCTGAATCGAATTCATCGATTGTCGATTGACCTCTCGGTCAAAGTTGGACTTACTCTGTGGTTCGTCGAACTCTTCATTGAATTTTTCTCGGGTAAATATATTCGTCAACAACTTTGAGCTTAGCGCTCCCAACGACTACCATCACAAGTGTAACATAGACGTTACACATGATCTTTGTTTTGTCCATGTTCGTCTTAAGACCTATCTGTTTGGAGACACTATTGAGGTCATTGAGCATAGTGCTTAGGTCCTCCAGCGATTCTGTAATAACGAGTATATTGTCAGAAAATCAAAGGTGAGTGATGTACTCGCCATTGATGTTAATACCGTATCTGGGGGGGGGGGGGGCCCCCATTTTTCGGGTTTTTTAAACACCCCACGGGGGGGGGGTCGGTTGGGTAGGGGGGGTTATTCTTTTCAGTCGAGTAGCTTGAAAAAGTCTTCCAATGCAGCGGTGAAGAGTTTATATAACGTCATCCCGTCTTACATCTCTCTGCGGTTCGATAGGTTCCGTACTCTGGTTCTGTACGCGGATAGTCATCTCAACCCTACTGCACAAACACTTCAGTACTTCCATATACCAACAGTCAACACGACACCGCTGACTGAAGGGATTTGTAGCACCGCCCAAATGTCGACGGAATCGAAGCGAAAAACGCCAGATAAAGTGGCAGATTGTACTCTTCGGTATTCTGTTCAATTTGCCGAAGTGTATGTCTATAGCACTAAAGCCTTGTCGGAAATCGGTTTATTCGGGCCAGAACTCGTCTAGTCTGTGTGTGCGATGATTCGTAAGGACTCTCGAAAACAGAACGTAGACTCGGCTCAGAAGGGAAATCGGTCAGTTCTTCAAGAGAGCGTTGACGCCATTTTTGAAGAACAAGACCACCGAACTTCTGCTCCAAGCCTTCGGAGTAGTGCCACCATGAAGAACGGAATTGAAGAGCTTCTGAAGGACTTTAAGTACTCGTGTTCCACCCGCTTTCAGAAAAAGAATTAGAGGGGACCTCTCCAACCTAACGTTTAGGTTTAGCGTGCCTCTAATCATTCAGTGATCGCTGCCATTTTTCACCCTAGCAATCACGGAGACAGTTGGCATCTAGTCTTTATAGTGAAATCAATTTAATTTTTATTCGAACCGTCAGGCTTACTCACAAACTGCAATTAACATTTTCATTGGTGCCGTGGGGATCGAAACCAACTTGCTTTTGAATTGCGAAATTTACAGCGACTACTTAGCCGCCATTTTCTTCTGCCACCACTCTTGATGGCACTAACAAAGCACTTAAACTTTTTTACAAATAGCACAGAAAAAACAATTTTTTAAATAAAATGAGTCCAGATGATTTTCTTATCGGTTCTTCCCAGGGCAGAGATTTTCTTGAAACAGTGGTAAGCTTAAATCTATTTCAATTACTACTACTTGCATTTTTAATAAAAACATTCTTTTCTGTTCGAAGTTTACTTACCTGCATCGTATATAGCCTGATATGCTTGCTCCAGCAGTTTACGTGACATTGCGTCCATCGCATATACAACATGATTATTGACCTTGAAGAACTGACAGTCGAAACGGTCGACATTTGGTATTTTACCAAAGTATCTTACCATTTCTGGATGCACGAAGTTCCATCGGCTTGTATCAGTTTCTATGGGATCCACCTAAAACAGATGTTATTTCTTCGCTTTTTTAACAAATAATTGAATGAGGCAGTGTACAATAAATGTGTCATTTTTGCGTGGTAGAACCATGCTGTAGCTATATTATAGTTGTAGAAAGAATGGGTCGGTTTGATCGGAGAAGGATCACGCTCTCACCTAATACCGTCATAAAATAGCAGCATAATACTCCTGTGTTTCGTGTGGTAAGTAAATAGAATCGGCTTCTTTTTTTACTGGGCATTACATCCTAGTCGTCTAGGGTTACAACGCATCAGCATTTTGGTTCTTAATTGAGGACAAATGTCGCCTATGCCCACAGATGTCTACATCAATCCTCGATTATTGATTTACTTTTTACGCTGGTATTCAGGGAGAGCGTGGTACTTTTACGATTGAGCCGACCCATTCGTGCTACAACCATAATATAGCTGTAGTCTGGCTCTATCATGTTGATTATAAATATAGGTTTTAATGAGAAGAGAGAGAGAGAGAGAATTTAAATATAAAGCAAAACCCGACTTTAAAGAACTAAGAAGAAAGAAAAAGTGTATCAAAGAATTATAGCTTCATAAAGTTATACTAAATATTTATTCCCCATGTTTTCTACCCATAGAAGTGCAATCATAAAATTTATACTGATTCAGTACTTAGACACAGTGTATCGAAAAATTTAAGTTCCTTAAAGTTACATTGAATATTAATTCCCAAGTTTTTCACCCATCAATTTTAGTAGCTATTTCTGAGATATCTATAACTACGGTAGCAATTTCTCAAGGAAATAAAGATTTTTCTCACCTTATTGTAAAGAATATCCGCTAGGTCCTTCACGTTTCTGGATTTAGGAAAGAGTCCGGACATACCACTGATAACTACTCTATCACCATCATTCATAGTGATGTCATTTAATTCAATTCCTTGTGTTGTAGGCGCCATGTTGTCTGATCTATATGAACTAAAAATGAGAATTTGATACAAAATCTGTATATTACTAGTCCGAATATTTTGTAGTAAGCCGTGTTAGCTTAGTCGGTGTGTTTCCGGCGTGGATAGAGCCGGTATGGTTCTATCTTATATATTATATCATTTTATGATTGTCGTTTTTTCACTTCACAGAAATATTTAGAAGCATAAGTTGTTTAAAAATATTGAATTAATCTTTAAAATTTTCAATTATGATACTTTTCCTTTATTAGTCTATACCTTATTATCTAAATTTGTGATTTAATAAGATTTTTTTTTTGTGAAAAGAGCACATAGTCCACCTGATGATAATTAGATGTTGTGTCAAAACTACTTTTATCCTCGATTTAGAATCAAAAAGCAGATGCGTTATTATCTCTGAGGGCTAAGATGAAATGTATTGTTTCTAGTAAAAAGTGTCTCCGGTTTAGTACATTCGCCATAACGCTACTATTTTACGATTGCATTATGTGAGAGCGAATCATTCTTGCTACAACCATGACGTAACTACAGGATAGCTCTTCCACGTATTTTTATATTCTATTGATTCTTATCAATAAGGTACTATGAAATGAAAAAAGAAATGAAATGTACTACTAATATACTCGAGTAATTTTCCGATAAAATAAAACGTAGATTATTAATTACGAGAATAATTAATTACACAAATAAATTGTTTTGGTTATGTAACGAATACGATTTTAAATTCAATCAGCCAGTTAGTAAAATGTTAATTAATTATCAAGAGCATAAAAAGTTAACTTGTAGTTAACATTATCGCTTCATTTATTTAAAAAATATGTTTGAATACGGCTTATGAATAATCGGTACCCACGAGTGCCGTGCGTTACGTGAGTGACGTAAGAGGCGAGGGAGTGAGACAGAAACAGGAGATGGACAGCTGTATCTTCCAGACAAAAATAACAAAACAAAACTGCGCTTACCCACCCATCCGCTAAGTATACCTATTTTGCAATTACTAATTTACTGCGTACCTACTCGTTTATAAGGATCGATCTGTAGGCAAGAACGTTGCTGCTTATAAATCACATTCAATTTGGGATAGTTTCAAATAAAAATATAAGCCTTATTTACTCGTATTTCAAAAACTACAATGACGGTAAATAATTTTTTATATATTTGAACTTAAGTTTAAAATTTGGCAGCTCTTTGAAAAATAATCCTTTATATGGAGGAAGCCTCTATTCAGCAACGGACCTTTGTCGTGTTGCTTTTGCATTGCTATGGTTGCAGCAGGAATTCATCGACTCGACCGGGAAACTGCCACTCTCTCACAGAATATCAACGTGAATTAGCAGCTTATTTCTGCTCCATTTTGTGTAATGAGTGTGGAGAACCGGAGACATTTTTTACTGTTAACTAGACATTCTATCTATATTAGACCTCACTTAATATTTTCATTAGTAATCAAGGATTGATGTAGGTGTTTATGGTCCACAGCATCCACTTACCATAAAGTGGACTGTGTGTTCGTTTGTTACCTTAATTCTGTAAAAAATCGCATAAATTTAAGCATAATTTTCTTTCAGGTCTTTAGGTCTGAGTGGAAAGAGTTTTATGGGCATGCGGCGAATTTGGTATTTATTGCAGGCAGGTGTATTATAGCTGCAGTATAAATGGACCGTCTCCATCGAGAAAATTCACCAGAACCTTTCGGAATACCAGCATAAAATAGCACTATAACGATGATGTGATTTAAATGGTTAATATGAGACTCTTTTTGCTGTTTAAAAAGGCATTCCATTATAGACTTTAGGGGTGCCAAAATATCTACATTTTAATTCTTAATTGAACATATATAGACTGAAGACTATGCTAAAAGATTTCCGATTTTCAACACTAACCAAACTCCACACAGCAGCATTGAGCCGCTATTTTACGCTGATTTTTTGTGAGAGTATGGTCCTACCACGGTTGAGCCGACTCATTCGTGCTACTACCATAATATGTATGTAGTTTGGCTCTACTACGTTTAAAAAACAACATGTAAAATATTAGTGAGAGTTTGAGAACTAAAATATCCAGATTGGCATTGGGTCAGCAGCGTCAAAGACGTGCCAAGCTACAGCTAAATCGACTCCATCAAATCCATCTTAGTCCTCAGAATTGACAACGTATTTCTTCGAAGTTAGCTACAGGTGTTCACGGACTGCAGTAGATATTTACCATCAGATGGACGGTAATTTCGTTTTTCAATTCAATTTGTAAAAATCGCTTAATAATATATAATATGAAAATGATTTTTCTAAAGAAATAAATTTTCAACGTTTATTAGTCTCGTCATAATTCAGGAGTCTAAATTTTTCACTGGATAACAACAGAGATATTAAATATTGTAACATTCGAACGAAAAATTTTGAATGAATCTTGAAAAATTTCGTAAATAATCGCTGCTTACCTAAGATCTTTCAGAAAATTAAATTTTATTTTTAAAACGTGTATTACTTGCTCCCAGATTAAATATTTCCACTTTTCACACACAACTATACTACTAACCTAACCCACATTAACTTGTGGCAAAGATTTACGTAAGTATAAAATTTATACTTTTTGAAGATATTATATAAACTTCTACCTTCTATTACCATTCATTAAACTTATAAATTATCGGCTGACATCTAACAAGTCATTGTATGTAAATAGTTATACCTAACGCTACAAATTTTTTATAAATTTCAGCCATGATATTTTACTTGAAATATATCGTCTGTCTCTAATCTGACGTTAGTATCTATAGGAGATCCTCAGGGCTCTATTCTTGTTCCGTTTCTATAAATATAAGTCTATAATTTTACAGTTTACTTTACTAGTAATATTTTTTCCTCTTTTACGCCTGCTATTTTTATTTTATCACACTCATGTTAACTGAGTGAAAATTCCAAAAGTCTTATAGTCCACCATTGAAATCCCTTATATCCTTTAAATAGTGACGTGGGTGTCTCACAGACGGCCTCGATGCAAAAATCAGTCTCGTGGCGTTAATTTTTTAAAGACGCTCCCGCCCCTCCCGCTACCTTCGGGTTTCGGTGGCGTGATCGGTCAGTCGAGTGCTCGCGCTCGTGGCAGCAACACCTGTACCTGTACGACCGTTTGGTGTCCCTGAGACGTGAGGTCAGTATTTGCGTAAATGATTTATTAGACGTCACTACAGTATGAGTGTATTTTTTTCTAAGTGTCTCTTATTCGTCACCTCACTGTGTACGTTTTTATTTTAGATGGATCAACCTGGAGACCTTCAGGAAACAGTCGAAAGCGAAAACGAGTAGCTCTAAATAATTCCACAAATGAAAAGACCTTAAGTCAGTGGATAGAGGCTGAGTTGGAGCGAGACTTCAGTGATGTGGATGATGAAGAAGTGGATCCAGATTTCTGTTTGCACAGTGATCATGACTCGGCTTCAGAACATTCTGAGGATGAAGAAACTCAATCTTAACGACAAAGATCACCCCGCAGTTCAGTTGCGATGCAAGATTCAGGTCTATCTTCAATACAAGATAATATATACACAGAATCCCAAAGATACTACATAGGTAAGAATGGTTTTAAATGGTGAAGCGATGAACCAGTGATGCGTAACTGTCGTTCACTAAGCCACAACTTGGTTGACACACCTAGATCACAGCTTAGAGCATTCACCAACCTAGAAACCTTGCGGAGACATTTTATGGATGACGATATTACTGACAAAATACTTGAATATAAGACTGACAATGAAACGGATTCTTAGCGAAGATTTACCGCCAGAACCTAGCCGCATTGAGTCAGCTGTTGGTGAAAATGACAAAAAGACTTGTAAGGTATGTCCAGCAAGGCTGAAGCGACGCACAAGGTACAAATGCGTTGCATGTCATAAGCCTATACGCTTAGGCTGTTCCAAAACAATCTGCAGCGACTGTACTGACTGAGACTGAATTTAGAAGACTGATTCTGTGGTAGTTCCTATATTATTTTAGTAATTAAGTTGAAGAAGTAATAAATTTTATTTTTTGTTAAAAAATAAGTCTGTTTGTTTATTTCATAAAACTTAAGAAGTGCGTCTTTTATAGAATGTGATTTTTTTCGTAAATTTTGCCAAATGTCCTAATAAATGTTGATTAATGCTTAAATTGGGTTTAATTTTAGCCTATATCATTAAAAAGAGGGTTTTATTTTGATTTTATACAAAAAAAATTCTAATTAATAATTAAGTTCTTACTATTGACATAAATTGCGTAGACGACTATAAAACGTCACATCACCATTTATGAGTCATTCAAACCACATTACTACTTTAAAGGTTAATTAAAGTGTTGCAAATTATTAAATTATTTTTTATGATTGAAATCATAAAAAATAATATAATAATTTGCAGCGCCTTATTTTTCGATGTAATAAATTAAAATTCATTTATCGAACGTCAAAATGTTTTTATTCTACTGCCGTTTCAAAACAAAGTTCTCAGACCGGAAAAGAAACACTTAAGGAAATTCCGAAGGTACACTCTTTTTCGTTTAAACGTTAAATTAAACATTAGTTTGAACTAAATCTATGCTTATTTGTTATTTTTAAAAGGCCAATAATTCAAAAACCACAATGAGAATAAATAATAGGTTCCTAGTTTTCAATACATCAAACCCTGTTTTTATTAATAAGTTGTTAACCTCTGTACCTCTGTACGTATCCCTATTACTTAGTTTAATTTTAAATACCTATAATATTGAAGGGATGATGCTGTATCTTCAGTATTTGAGTCATTTATGCTCATACACACACAAGTATATAAATTTTAATTTTTATTTAAAATCTTTATTGAATTCCCTTGAAAAAATTGGTTGACAACAAACTCTACTTATGATAGCTCGAAGAGCTCATAACACGTCATAATTTTGAAGAAATTTTACGATCCAATCAACTGATTCAAGTTTTTCAGATTGACAAAAATCCTATCACAAATAAATTGATTTTAAATTATT